TAAATCGACGAATTAATATATATAGTATTGTTGTTATTAAATCAAAAAGTATTTTAATGTGGTTTCTGATTAATACTGTTTTCACATTTCAAAGCATTTTCTATTAATCCCATTTTTATTAAATAAAGAAAAATGATTCAAAACAACGAAGATTTCATATAGGCTAAGTAAAAAGCCACTAGCCAGGATATTTAATCACAAATAGAGGCTTGTTATTTAGAATTACAGTAAAATATCGATGTATATTTTAATTAATTATTTTAGATCTCCTTCAATAAAATTGATAATTTTCTTGACTCCATAATCGATGATACCTTAAATACCTTTAATTAAAATTTCCTAATATCAGAATAATCGACAACTATTTAATATAATATTTCATAACCCTCATTTCAAATCCCAGATTTTGCTAATTAAATGGTTCATCAAATTGTCCCTTTAGTCAAGGCTTTAATTGAAAATCAAATAAAAAAGAAGAAAGAATTTCTAACTTAAGACTTTATTCAATAAGAATAATTAAATCCAAATTTTGAATAAGATCTGTTTCAAAACTAGTAATTGGAGATATAAGATCAAGATATTCTAGAGCTTAAATAAACATAAACTCTAGTACAATAATCAATAGAACTAGATGATAATTTATAATAAGTTGATCCTAACAATTTAGAATTTATGTATTAACAAGGTTAATAGTTATTATTATTATTAGCTAATACTTTAACTATATTGAATAAGTTTGAAGATGCAAAGTAACTATACAAAGATATTATCAAAATTAATCCAAATCATGAACTATCATACTTATAAATAGGTATATCAAATAATAAAATAATTTAGCTGATATATTAAGAGATTAAAAATATTATTAGGAAGCTAAGGATTATTATTCTTAATGCATTTCAATCAATTATTATAATTCGGATGCTTATTTTGGAATAGGTAAAATTTATAAATATTTAATAAGGTGAATGTTTAAAAGAGACTTAATAATTTTATGAAGCATAATAATATTATGTTAAAGCAATTGAAATTAATTAATCTAACTTATAATATAAATTTTGCTTTGATAAATACAAATATTCTTATCAATTAGGTAATTGCTTAAGAACTTAAGGAAAATATCATGAGGCCATTTGTGTTTATGATGAATGTTTAATGATAGATATTAATCATGCTGAAACAATAGCAGCAAAGGGTAAAAAAAAAAATAATAATTATATTAGGAATATGTTTAATCTATATTGGTATGGAAGATAAGGCGTTTAATTATATAGATTATTCAATAAATTTAAATAAAAACTCTCGTATGGCAATATTTGGACTTGGTACTTTATTTGATTAAAAATTAGGTTTAATTTTATTAACAAAGAAAGATTACTTAAAAGCATTAGAGAAATTTGATAGGGCTTTGGAAATCGATCCATAATCTATTGAAATTTTATAAATGAAAAGTAAAGTAAATCTAAATTTGATAGTTGATGTCCTAATAAAATGTGGCCAATATTAATAAGTTATTGAATGTTTTGATAAAATTATTACCATAAATCCTTAATCTGATGTAACTTTAAAAAACAAAAGTAATTTTTATTTAATTATTTATAGTTTATGACTTATCAAATAATCTTCAATATGAATAAGCCATTCAATTATGTAATAAATCATTAGAAATCAATCCATAATCTATTGAGATCTTAAAAATGAAAAGTATAATTAATCTAAATTTGATAGTTAATGTCCTAATAAAATGTGGCCAATAAGAATAAGCCATTTAATTATGTGATAAATCATTAGAAATCAATCCATAATCTATTGAGATTATATAAATCAAAAGTAAAATGAGTCTAAATTTGATAGTTGATATCCTACTATAATTTGGTCAATAAGAATAAGTCATTTAATTTTGTGATAAATTATTAGAAATCAATCCATAATCTATTGAGATCTTAAAAATGAAAAGTATAATTAATCTAAATTTGATAGTTAATGTCCTAATAAAATGTGGCCAATAAGAATAAGCCATTTAATTATGTGATAAATCATTAGAAATCAATCCATAATCTATTGAGATTATATAAATCAAAAGTAAAATGAGTCTAAATTTGATAGTTGATATCCTACTATAATTTGGTCAATAAGAATAAGTCATTTAATTTTGTGATAAATTATTAGAAATCAATCCATAATCTATTGAGATCTTAAAAATGAAAAGTATAATTAATCTAAATTTGATAGTTAATGTCCTAATAAAATGTGGCCAATAAGAATAAGCCATTTAATTATGTGATAAATCATTAGAAATCAATCCATAATCTATTGAGATTATATAAATCAAAAGTAAAATGAGTCTAAATTTGATAGTTGATATCCTACTATAATTTGGTCAATAAGAATAAGTCATTTAATTTTGTGATAAATTATTAGAAATCAATCCATAATCTATTGAGATCTTAAAAATGAAAAGTATAATTAATCTAAATTTGATAGTTAATGTCCTAATAAAATGTGGCCAATAAGAATAAGCCATTTAATTATGTGATAAATCATTAGAAATCAATCCATAATCTATTGAGATTATATAAATCAAAAGTAAAATGAGTCTAAATTTGATAGTTGATATCCTACTATAATTTGGTCAATAAGAATAAGTCATTTAATTTTGTGATAAATTATTAGAAATCAATCCATAATCTATTGAGATCTTAAAAATGAAAAGTATAATTAATCTAAATTTGATAGTTAATGTCCTAATAGAATGTGGCCAATATTAATAAGTTATTGAATGTTTTGATAAAATTATTACCATAAATCCTTAATCTGATGTAACTTTAAAAAACAAAAGTAATTTTTATTTAATTATTTATAGTTTATGACTTATCAAATAATCTTCAATCTGAATAAGCCATTCAATTATGTAATAAATCATTAGAAATCAATCCATAATCTATTGAGATCTTAAAAATGAAAAGTATAATTAATCTAAATTTGATAGTTAATGTCCTAATAAAATGTGGCCAATAAGAATAAGCCATTTAATTATGTGATAAATCATTAGAAATCAATCCATAATCTATTGAGATCTTAAAAATGAAAAGTATAATTAATCTAAATTTGATAGTTAATGTCCTAATAAAATGTGGCCAATAAGAATAAGCCATTTAATTATGTGATAAATTATTAGAAATCAATCCATAATCTATTGAGATCTTAAAAATGAAAAGTATAATTAATCTAAATTTGATAGTTAATGTCCTAATAAAATGTGGCCAATAAGAATAAGCCATTTAATTATGTGATTAATCATTAGAAATCAATCCTTTATATATTGAGATCTAATAAATGAAAAATACAATAAATATAAATTTTATACTTAATACCTTAACTTAATGTGGCTACCTTTTTTAGCATTTTAATTGTTTTGAAGAAGTAAATTTCATCTTTGCTTAATTTGACGAATAATACTTTTAATAAATAAGTAAATTTAATTTAAATATTTATAGTTTATAACTTATCAAATAAGGGTCATTATGAATAGGCCATTGAATTATGTAACAAATTATTGGAAATTAATCCATAATCTATTGAGACTTAATAAATGAAAAGTAAAAATAATTTAAATTTGATAGTTGGTGTCCTACTATAATTTGGTCAATAAGAATAAGCCATTTAATTTTGTGATAAATTATTAGAAATCAATCCATAGTCTATTGATATCTTATAAATCAAAAGTAAAAATAGTCTAAATTTGATAGTTGATGTCCTACTATAATGTGGCCAATATTAATAAGTTATTGAATGTTTTGATAAAATAATTACCATAAATCCTTAATCTGATGTAACTTTAAAAAACAAAAGTAATTTTTATTTAATTATTTATAGTTTATGACTTATCAAATAAGGGTCAATATGAATAAGCCATTTAATTATGTGATTAATCAATAATAATCAATCCATAATCTATTGAGATTATATAAATGAAAAGTAAAATTAATCTAAATTTGATAGTTGATGTTCTAATGAAGGGTGACCAATATGAAAAGGTTGTCGAATGTTTTGAAAAAATAATTACAATAAATCCTTAATCTTCTAATACTTTACAAACCATAAGTATATTTTATGTAAATTTGAATAGTTGATTGCTTAATATATCATGGTATTTATTAAAAAGTCATTTAAAAATGCGATAAAATTATGGAAATCAATCCATAATCTAATGAAATCTTAAAAATGAAAAGTAAATTAAATTTTAATTTTAATAGTTGATTACTTAAGACATTAAAATTAATTTGAATAAGCGATTTAATTATGTGATAAGTCATTAGAAATCAATCCATAATCTATTGATTTCTTATAAATCAAAAGTAAAAATAGTCTAAATTTGATAGTTGATATCCTACTATAATTTGGTCAATAAGAATAAGTCATTTAATTTTGTGATAAATTATTAGAAATCAATCCATAATCTATTGAGATCTTATAAATGAAAAGTATAATTAATCTAAATTTGATAGTTAATGTCCTAATATAATTTGGCCAATAAGAATAAGCCATTTAATTATGTGATAAATCATTAGAAATCAATCCATAATCTATTGAGATCTTATATATGAAAAATACAATAAATAGAAATTTTATACTTAATACCTTAACTCAATGTGGCTACCTTTTTTAGCATTTTAATTGTTTTGAAGAAGTAAATTTCATCTTTGCTTAATTTGACGAATAATACTTTTAATAAATAAGTAAATTTAATTTAAATATTTATAGTTTATGACTTATCAAATAAGGGTCATTATGAATAAGCCATCGAATTATGTAACAAATTATTGGAAATTAATCCATAATCTATTGAGATATTATAAATGAAAAGTATCATTAATCTAAATTTGATAGTTGATATCCTACTATAATTTTGTCAATAAGAATAAGTCATTTAATTTTGTGATAAATTATTAGAAATCAATCCATAATCTATTGAGATCTTATAAATGAAAAGTATAATTAATCTAAATTTGATAGTTAATGTCCTAATAAAATGTGGCCAATAAGAATAAGCCATTTAATTATGTGATAAATCATTAGAAATCAATCCATAATCTATTGAGATATTATAAATGAAAAGTATAATTAATCTAAATTTGATAGTTAATGTCCTAATAAAATGTGGCCAATAAGAATAAGCCATTTAATTATGTGATAAATCATTAGAAATCAATCCATAATCTATTGAGATATTATAAATGAAAAGTATAATTAATCTAAATTTGATAGTTGATGTCCTAATATAATAAGGCCAATATTAATAAGTTATTGAATGTTTTGATAAAATAATTACCATAAATCCTTAATCTGATGTAACTTTAAAAAACAAAAGTAATTTTTATTTAATTATTTATAGTTTATAACTTATTAGATTAAAATTAATTTGAATAAGCCATTTAATTATGTGATAAATTATTAGAAATCAATCCATAGTCTATTGATTTCTTATAAATCAAAAGTAAAAATAGTCTAAATTTGATAGTTGATGTCCTACTATAATGTGGCCAATATTAATAAGTTATTGAATGTTTTGATAAAATAATTAACATAAATCCTGAATCTGATGTAACTTTAAAAAACAAAAGTAATTTTTATTTAATTATTTATAGTTTATAACTTATTAGATTAAAATTAATTTGAATAAGCCATTTAATTATGTGATAAATTATTAGAAATCAATCCATAGTCTATTGATTTCTTATAAATCAAAAGTAAAAATAGTCTAAATTTGATAGTTGGTGTTTTACTATAATTTGGTCAATAAGAATAAGCCATTTAATTTTGTGATAAATTATTAGAAATCAATCCATAGTCTATTGATATCTTATAAATCAAAAGTAAAAATAGTCTAAATTTGATAGTTGGTGTTTTACTATAATTTGGTCAATAAGAATAAGCCATTTAATTTTGTGATAAATTATTAGAAATCAATCCATAGTCTATTGATATCTTATAAATCAAAAGTAAAAATAGTCTAAATTTGATAGTTGATGTCCTACTATAATGTGGCCAATATTAATAAGTTATTGAATGTTTTGATAAAATAATTACCATAAATCCTTAATCTGATGTAACTTTAAAAAACAAAAGTAATTTTTATTTTATTATTTATAGTTTATGGCTTAATTATAAATGGTCATTATGAATAAGTTCCTTAATTATTGGATCAATTAATTGCCATTAATCCTTAATTTATTTATAATTTAAAAAGAATAAGTAAGTTACTTTAAATAATTATAGTTGATTAATTAATACAATATGGTCAATATAAATTAGCTATTGAATCATTTGATAAAATAATTTCTATAAATCCTTAATTTATTAATACCTTAAAAAGCATGTGTAAATATAATTTTATTAAATATAGTTGATTATTTAATACAATATGGCTAATATGATTTAGCTATTGAATTTTATGATAAAATAATAACTATTAACCCTTAAAATGCTGATACTTTTAAAAGCATAAGTAAGTTTAATTTAATTATTTATAGTTTATGACTTATCAAATAATGGTCAATATGAATAAGCCATTTAATTATCTAACAAATTATTGGAAATCAATCCATAATCTATTGAGATCTTATAAATGAAAAGTAAAATTAATCTAAATTTCATAGTTGATGTCCTAATATAATAAGGCCAATATTAATAAGTTATTGAATGTTTTGATAAAATAATTACCATAAATCCTTAATCTGATGTAACTTTATAAAACAAAAGTATATTTAATTTAATTATTTATAGTTTATGACTTAATACATTAAAATTAATTTGAATAAGCAATTTAATTATATGATAAATTATTGGAAATCAATCCATAATCAATTGAGATTATATAAATGAAAAGTAAAATTAGTCTAAATTTGATAGTTGATGTCCTAATATAATAAGGCCAATATTAATAAGTTATTGAATGTTTTGATAAAATAATTACCATAAATCCTTAATCTGATGTAACTTTAAAAAACAAAAGTAATTTTCATTTAATTATTTATAGTTTATGACTTAATACATTAAAATTAATTTGAATAAGCAATTTAATTATATGATAAATTATTGGAAATCAATCCATAATCAATTGAGATTATATAAATGAAAAGTAAAATTAGTCTAAATTTGATAGTTGATGTCCTAATATAATAAGGCCAATATTAATAAGTTATTGAATGTTTTGATAAAATAATTACAATAAATCCTTAACCTTCTGATACTTTAAAAACCATATGTATATTTTATGTTAATTTACATAGATGGTTGCTTACTATATCATGGTCTTTATTAAAAAGTCATTTAAAAATGCGATAAAATTATGGAAATCAATCCATAATCTAATGAAATCTTAAAAATGAAAAGTAAATTAAATTTTAATTTTAATAGTTGATTATTTAATACATTAAAATTAATTTGAATAAGCGATTTAATTATGTGATAAATCATTAGAAATCAATCTATAATCTATTGAGATTATATAAATGAAAAGTAAAATAAGTCTAAATTTGATAGTTGATGTCCTAATGAAGGGTGGCCAATATGAAAAGGTTGTCGAGTGTTTTGAATAAATAATAACAATAAATCCTTAATCTTCTAATACTTTAGAAACCATAAGTATATTTTATGTAAATTTAAATAGTTGATTGCTTACTATATCATGGTCTTTATTAAAAAGTCATTTAAAAATGCGATAAAATTATGGATATCAATCCATAATCTATTGAAATCTTAAAAATGAAAAGTAAATTAAATTTTAATTTTAATAGTTGATTACTTAAAACATTAAAATTAATTTGAATAAGCGATTTAATTATGTGATAAATCATTAGAAATCAATCCATAATCTATTGAGATTAAATAAATGAAAAATACAATAAAGAGAGAAATATTAGTTAATACCTTTTTATAATTAAACTAATTTTGCTACCATAACCTGTATTTAGATTATGTTTATAAATGGAATAACGAAATTCCTTAACTTGAAGAATTACTTCAATAATTAAGTAAATTTAATTGAATTATTTATAGTTTATGACTTATCAAATAAACGTTAATATGAATATGCCATTTAATTGTGTGATAAATCATTAGAAATCAATCCATAATCTATTGAGATCTTAAAAATCAAAAGTAAAAATAATTTAAATTTGATAGTTGATGTTCTACTATAATTTGGTCAATAAGAATAAGCCATTTAATTGTGTGATAAATTATTAGAAATCAATCCATAATCTATTGAGATCTTATAAATGAAAAGTAAATTAAATTTTAATTTTATTAGTTGATTACTTAAAACATTAAAATTAATTTGAATAAGCGATTTAATTATGTGATAAATCATTAGAAATCAATCCTTAATCTATTGAGATCTTAAAAATCAAAAGTAAAAATAATTTAAATTTGATAGTTGATGTTCTACTATAATTTGGTCAATAAGAATAAGCCATTTAATTGTGTGATAAATTATTAGAAATCAATCCATAATCTATTGAGATCTTATAAATGAAAAGTAAATTAAATTTTAATTTTATTAGTTGATTACTTAAAACATTAAAATTAATTTGAATAAGCCATTTAATTATGTGATTAATCATTAGAAATCAATCCTTAATCTATTGAGATCTTAAAAATCAAAAGTAAAATTAATGTAAATTTGATAGTTGATGTCCTAATAAAATGTGGACAATATGAATAAGCCATTTAATTATGTGATAAATCATTAGAAATCAATCCTTAATCTATTGAGATCTTAAAAATCAAAAGTAAAATTAATGTAAATTTGATAGTTGATGTCCTAATAAAATGTGGACAATATGAATAAGCCATTTAATTATGTGATAAATCATTAGAAATCAATCCTTAATCTATTGAGATCTTAAAAATCAAAAGTAAAATTAATGTAAATTTGATAGTTGATGTCCTAATAAAATGTGGACAATATGAATAAGCCATTTAATTATGTGATTAATCATTAGAAATCAATCCTTAATCTATTGAGATCTTAAAAATCAAAAGTAAAATTAATGTAAATTTGATAGTTGATGTCCTAATATAATAAGGCCAATATTAATAAGTTATTGAATGTTTTGATAAAATAATTACCATAAATCCTTAATCTGATGTAACTTTAAAAAACAAAAGTAATTTTCATTTAATTATTTATAGTTTATGACTTATCAAATAATCGTTAATATGAATAAGCCATTTAATTATGTAACAAATTATTGGAAATTAATCCATAATCTATTGAGATCTTATAAATGAAAAGTAAAAATAATTTAAATTTGATAGTTAATGTCCTAATAAAATGTGGACAATATGAATAAGCCATTTAATTATGTGATTAATCATTAGAAATCAATCCTTAATCTATTGAGATCTTAAAAATCAAAAGTAAAATTAATGTAAATTTGATAGTTGATGTCCTAATATAATAAGGCCAATATTAATAAGTTATTGAATGTTTTGATAAAATAATTACCATAAATCCTTAATCTGATGTAACTTTAAAAAACAAAAGTAATTTTTATTTAATTATTTATAGTTTATAACTTATTAGATTAAAATTAATTTGAATAAGCCATTTAATTATGTGATAAATTATTAGAAATCAATCCATAGTCTATTGATATCTTATAAATCAAAAGTAAAAATAGTCTAAATTTGATAGTTGGTGTTTTACTATAATTTGGTCAATAAGAATAAGCCATTTAATTTTGTGATAAATTATTAGAAATCAATCCATAGTCTATTGATATCTTATAAATCCTAAGTAAAAATAGTCTAAATTTGATAGTTGGTGTTTTACTATAATTTGGTCAATAAGAATAAGCCATTTAATTTTGTGATAAATTATTAGAAATCAATCCATAATCTATTGAGATTATATAAATCAAAAGTAAAATGAGTCTAAATTTGATAGTTGATGTCCTAATAAAATGTGGACAATATGAATAAGCCATTTAATTATGTGATAAATCATTAGAAATCAATCCTTAATCTATTGAGATCTTAAAAATCAAAAGTAAAATTAATGTAAATTTGATAGTTGATGTCCTAATAAAATGTGGACAATATGAATAAGCCATTTAATTATGTGATTAATCATTAGAAATCAATCCTTAATCTATTGAGATCTTAAAAATCAAAAGTAAAATTAATGTAAATTTGATAGTTGATGTCCTAATAAAATGTGGACAATATGAATAAGCCATTTAATTATGTGATTAATCAATAATAATCTATCCATAATCTATTGAGATCATAAAAATGAAAAGTAAAATTAATCTAAATTTGATAGTTAATGTCCTAATAAAATGTGGACAATATGAATAAGCCATTTAATTATGTGATTAATCATTAGAAATCAATCCTTAATCTATTGAGATCTTAAAAATCAAAAGTAAAATTAATGTAAATTTGATAGTTGATGTCCTAATAAAATGTGGACAATATGAATAAGCCATTTAGTTTTGTGATAAATCATTAGAAATCAATCCATAATCTATTAATATTAAATAAATGAAAAATACAATAAATAGAAAAATATTAGTTAATATCTTAAAATAATATAAACACCTTTACTAGGATTTTATTGTTTTGAAAAAATAAATGATATCAATGCTTAATTTGAAGAATACTTTCAATATATAAGTAAATTTAATTGAAATATTTATAGTTTAAGTTTTATCATATAATGGTCAATATGAATAAGCCATTTAATTATGTGATAAATCATTAGAAATCAATCCTTAATCTATTGAGATATTATAATATAAACACCTTTACTAGGATTTTTATTGTTTTGAAAAAATAAATGCCATCAATGCTTAATTTGAAGAATAATTTCAATATATAAGTAAATTTAATTGAAATATTTATAGTTTAAGTTTTATCTTCTATTGGTAAATATGAATAAGCCATTGAATTATGTAACAAATTATTGGAAATCAATCCATAATCTATATAGACTATATAAATGAAAAGTAAAATTAATCTAAATTTGATAGTTGATGTCCTAATAAAATGTGGCCAATAAAAATAAGCCATTTAATTTTGCGATTAATCATTAGAAATTAAACCATAATCTATTGAGATTATATAAATGAAAAGTAAAATTAATCTAAATTTGATAGTTGATGTCCTAATATAATAAGGCCAATATTAATAAGTTATTGAATGTTTGGATAAAATAATTACCATAAATCCTTAATCTGATGTAACTTTAAAAAACGAAAGTAATTTTAATTTAAATATTTATAGTTTGGTTTTTATCTTCTATTGGTAAATATGAATAAGCCATTGAATTATGTAACAAATTTTTGGAAATCAATCCATAATCTATATAGACTATATAAATGAAAAGTAAAATTAATCTAAATTTGATAGTTGATGTCTTAGAAAAATGTAGGCAATTTGAATTAGCCATTTAATTATGTGATAAATTATTAGAAATTAAACCATAATCTATTGAGATTATATAAATGAAAAGTAAAATTAATCTAAATTTGATAGTTGATGTCCTAATATAATAAGGCCAATATTAATAAGTTATTGAATGTTTTGATAAAATTATTACCATAAATCCTTAATCTGATGTAACTTTAAAAAACAAAAGTAATTTTAATTTAATTATTTATAGTTTATGACTTATCAAACAATTTTCAATATAATTAAGCCATTTAATTATGTGATAAATCATTAGAAATCAATCCTTAATCTATTGAGATCTAATAAATGAAAAATACAATAAATAGAAAAATATTAGTTAATATCTTAAAAGAATATAAACACCTTTACTAGGATTTTTATTGTTTTGAAGAAATAAATGCCATCAATGCTTAATTTGAAGAATAATTTCAATAAATAAGTAAATTTAATTTAAATATTTATAGTTTAAGTTTTATCATATAATGGTCAATATGAATAAGCCATTTAATTATGTGATAAATTATTAGAAATTAAACCATAATCTATTGAGATTATATAAATGAAAAGTAAAATTAATCTAAATTTGATAGTTGATGTCCTAATAAAATGTGGCCAATATTAATAAGTTATTGAATGTTTTGATAAAATTATTACCATAAATCCTTAATCTGATGTAACTTTAAAAAACAAAAGTAATTTTAATTTAAATATTTATAGTTTAAGTTTTATCATATAATGGTCAATATAAATAAGCCATTTAATTATGTGATAAATCATTAGAAATCAATCCATAATCTATTGAGAAATCAAAAATTAAAAGTAAAATCATCTAAATTTGATAGTTGATTTCCTATTAATTTATATAAATTTGATTATATAATATTATCTTTTAATTATGACTAATCATACAAATTTATTGACTAGCTATTTTCATTAGAAACATATAATCGTTTTTAACCTAAAGTTTACAAAATTTTTGATAAAAATGATCTTTATAAAAATTAATGATTCATTAGATATTACATAGAATTAACTTAATTCTTAAAATTTTTATTACTTTTTTCCTGTATAAAAATAAATTTTCATATCTTTATTTCATTAAGGAGAATAAATGCAATGAAATTAATTCTAAATGAGTTTATAATAAATTATTCTTAATGTTTTATGAATATTTCATACAAATTTTAATTTCAAATCATATTTTTGCAATATATAAGAGATTTAAAATTTAATATTTGAATTCAGAAAATAAGAATATTAATTGTATCTTGAAATCTAGTTCTATCAAAATTGTTTACTTTTGTATTTAATCATATTATACCTAAAATTATCTTCAACTAGAATCTTACAAGTCTAAGCTTCTATCATTCTCGATAATTTAATGTTTAAATTATTTACTATTTTCTAAAAATTACTAATATATTATTTTTTTTTAATATATGAAATTAATTAAACTTTTAAGTGTACTATAAAAATTTTTTTTTTGTAACCAATAATATTATTATATGATCTTCATTAGTTTAAGAGAAGCTGCTTTAATCCAATAATTTTAACATTAAATAATAATTTTCTCTAATTTCTTGAGGTTTTGCCATATTTAGCATATTTCCACCAAATTTGATATGATAAAAAGGGCTAAAAATGCTCTAAAGTTTTCTTTTTGTTAAAGAAGAATTTTTCTTTAATTACCATTATATACTACACTAAAATATTAGAACATTCATGAGAATTAATCAAATATTTTATTTATTGTTCTACAATTATTGGCTTCAGATAGGCCTTCTCCATTTCAAACTTGCAAGAGTCTTAAAGTGGAAAAATACACTAGAACAAACGCGAGAGATTATGGGTCCAGTACTATGAATAGTGATCTTTGCCATTATAACTATTTTATTTTTTCCCCTTTGATTTGATGAGGATATTCCTAGAATCGCTCTTGGCTTCACCACACTTTACCCTAAAAAAAAATATTATTACTATCATTTATCTAATATCAATTTTGTCCTATAAAGCCTTTTTTAAGCTATTAATGATGAAGTAACATAATAACTGACTATTCTTTTATGGGACGTATTAATGATTTATAAATATATATATAAAGGGTGCGCAAAATGTAAAATTCTTATTTACTAAGATAAATTAACAATCAAATTTATTTATAGAAAGCAATCTTTACACTAATTCTATATAATTGATCAATTGAAATGAAGTCTTCGACAGTAGAAAATATTTAAGTTCAAAATAACAAACTTTTGGTCGAGTGTTGCAAAAAGGAAGGGCCTTAATAGATTTCACATTTCTAAATTCCATAGTACATACATGGAGTGTTAACTATTTATTATTGATGAACTAAACTGCACTTATGGAGAAATGACAAATATTCTCTCAGTCGATGGAACTTAGATTAGGTTTTAGATTTAGGAATTCAGACTTAGAAAAAGTTGCTTATTGAGAAAAAAGATTAAACTTATATCTATATAGTATGTCTAAGCGAAGTAGTATTTCTTTTTACCATTAGTAGGCAAAGTCTCACTGAGTATTGGATAATTTTATAAGATGTGAAGAAGTGAAGCCCAAATGAATTTTTTACTATTATCCTAATGTCTAATTATGTTTATTTTAGCAATTAATTACTATGATTATTATGCAAAAACTCTATTTATTTAATCTATAATCTTAAAGGTTATAATTAGAACTTAAATAAACTTAAAAAAATGATTATAAAGTGATAAATCAATAATTCTCTTTAAAATCAAATAAGAGATAGCTTCCATATTTTATTTATTTATTTAATTAACACACATTATTAAATCATTCAATTATTTTCATGTATGTTAGAATGTGGACTAGATCGTTTTAAACTGTTTGTATAAGGTTAAGTCCCTCCCTTATTAGCAGTTTGTTTCAATAGATGAGTCTCATTACTCACTTTCTGATATTTAGTAGTAGAAAATTTCAGAGAATTATATATTTAAAATGTCTTGGTTTTCATCAGAACAATTTTTATTTGGCTAAGCCAATTTCATGTTCTGCGCTTTATTTAATTAACTTCTAGGTCTCTTGGAAGGATATCCCTTAAATCTTATAAGGGCTTGATGCACCTCTGACCCAATCACTGATAGACTGATGAGTCTTTGCGATCAAGAAAATAAAAATAATAGTTTCCATTTAAATTATAAAAATCTAATGTAATTATGCTAAAATTTATTATTCCTTTTGTTTAACACAAGTTTAAATAAATTTATCATTCTTTTTTACTTTAAATTAAATTTAATATGAAATGCTAACAAATTAATGGAACCTAATTTTCACAACTTTGAAATTGGTTTTTAGTGTTTTAACCTAGATTCAAAGAATTGAAACTTTATTTTAATATGGATAAAATCATCAGTCGAGTGTAGGTTGATTAATTAAAATAATATTTATAGAATCTTTTAAATATAGCTTTATTCATGATATTCATTACTGAAAATTTAATAAATCTTCTTATGATAAAAAATTTCAGTTTATATGCAAAGAAGTTTTTTATTTTACTTTTAGATTTTATTTCTTTTTGCTTCCAATTTTTAATCTGTTACTATCTGCCTTAAATTTATATTTATTGATTCAATCAGAATAAAACATAATATATATTAAATCATATATTTTCCCATAAAAACACATATAAACATTTACTTATTAGGTGATGATATATTCCTAATTATCTAGGATGTAAAGATAGATAAAGGTTGAGCTTTTTATTGAAATATTTTAAACTTCTCTTTTCTCAGCTCTAAATCATTTTCAACTATTTCATCAACAGTTATTTTAATCGAAGTTTTATAATTATTTTTTATAAACATACTTACACTTTTGATTCTAAGCATTTTGTATTAAAATTAGCTCTAATCAAAATTTTTAGTTTGATATATGATATTTATTCAAAAATTAATAATATAGTTGATGTATGATAAAATTAAATTTTGTAGGTCAAGATCTATTTTGGATATTTATTTATTGTTAAAAAGTCTTCTATAATCAATTTTTCAACAATTCTCAGCTAAATGATGATTAAAATCTGAAAGGTGTCCATAGTAGAATTAATCATCTTGTATTCGCATTTAGATTGATCCACTTAACTCAATCTACTTAGTAGACTAGTAAATCATACTTCTCTCTATTCTTTACAGACTTTTTAAGAAGCAATTAAGAATTTATAATAATATTAGCGATAGGATAATTAATAAAGTTTCTTAAATTTTAAGGCCATTTTGATACATTATCAAATAAGTGATTATTATAATACTATGAATAATATGCAAATATCTTTGTTTATTTTCAATCTAAATTTAAAACTCCTAATTTACAAAAATCATTCAACATATAAAAATATGTATTATTATTCATATGTTATTAAAGATTTTCATTTTTTATTTTTTAAACCATTGTTTATCAAATATTGATTAATGAATATTATTATTTTATTATGTATTTCGTTTAATTTCTCACTTGCATAAGAAGAAGTAATATTTTATAATGCCTTTACTAATAACGATATGAGTGAAGCTTAATGTAATTTATTATTAAAAATCAGATTGGACAGCAGAAGGAGTAAAAACATAAAATTTAATATATGATTGTGCAGGTAGTTTTTTGTATGGAGGCTATGGCATTTTTGGAGTAGGGGCGAAAATCTCAAAATAATTAGAACTTCCTCCTCATACTAAGATAAAATTCAATATAGATATATGGAAGTAGTTATTAAAATAAATAAAGATTAGATGATTGGTATGAAGAATATATATAAATTATAATCGATGAATAAATTTATAAAAGTCAATTGCTATATTATTCATAGGGATCTCAGCTTTGTGGATTATTAGAAACAAATGAGAATGAATTAATTATTCCAATAGAAATTAGTATTTCTCACACTGCTAAATTTTTAAATATTATAATATTGTCTACTGTAAATGAAGATGGTTTTAATGTAAAATGTTAATGATATGGAAGGAATCATGGGGTATAAGAAATTTATAGATACAGATTTTACCCTGTCCAAATTTATGCACAATCTGTGATTAAGAACCAATTTAAATTTGTTCTACAATATTAATTTAAGAAATTAAGATTAATGAATGGTATAATTAGAGTGATTAGCCTATCCAATCATCTGTATGTATTTCTAGTATAAAAATTTAAGGAGGATTTGGTATTTTAGATAAAAATAGTGTTATAAAAAGTAGTGTTAATCTTTCAGCTCCTCATTATTAAATCAAAGTTAAACTTTAATTGATTCTTATTGATATATAAAGTCTAATTAATTATTTTGTTTTGGAAATTGATGATTTGATTACAAACATTTAATTGACTTCAAAATCATAATTATCTTTATGTGGCTCATCCTATTAAGAAAGTATTAAGAATATAGATGTATCTATTAACCATACTAATAACAATTCGATTATAAAGATCAGACCTATTTAATTAACAGGATAAAATGCCTATTGGGGAATTATCTCATTTGATATTTTCATCATAAAATGTTCTGATAAGAATTGTTTAAAATGTATTGAAAAAGATGTTTGTTTAGAGTGTATTGATGAATGGGTTGTAGAGAATGATAAGTGTAATAGATGTATAAATATATATATAAATATATTTAGTATAAAATCCATTCAAAATAAAACAAATTAAAGTGAAATAATACAAAAATATACTTCTTGACTCACAACAACAATTAAAAAATGAATCAATAATACTTAATAAAGCTTAGATATTTATGGATTTAACTGTAACTACTTAATGCAATCAAAACAATTATATTCAAAGTAATTTTATCATTTGTCATGCATGTGAAGAAAAAAACATTGCTTCTTTCTAATTTAAGTGTCAATTTAAGCTTAATTAAATGATAACATTTTCAATAAAATTAGAGAAATTAAATATCACTTCAGAAGAATTGTTAATAATAAGAAATAATTCAAATTACTAAGTAAATTAGATATTTTATAATAATGAAATGAAATCAGAAACAATTTTTGAAATAATCCAAATCCAAATCCAAAAATGATTTCAATAACAAAGTTTTTAAGATTTAATATTAAATTAATGTTCTTTCCTAAAATACTTGTACAATAATTATAAAATTTGATATCTTAATTATTAATATATGATAGTTTCTTAATTTATAGGATAATATCTTATACAAAATATATTTACAATAAATATATGTGCTATAGTTATTCAGATTCTAAAAATAATTCTGATAATATTATTAAATTGTTATTAGTATTTCAATTATATTCTTAATTTTATTAATTTCTAGAATTTATATAGTTTTCAATAATGTTACAAAATACAACTGAGAAAATCTTAAAGCCTCAAATATAAAACAAACATATTGGTGAATTATTTATTGAATAGAATTGTTTTTCTATTTAAAGTATAATTACATAATATTATTGAAAATATAAATTTTAATTAATTTTATAGAATTAGATATGAATGAAATAGGAGGATTTCGGGTAAAATGTTCTATTGAATAACATGAGTTCATAGAATTAGCTTGCTTAAATAAATAATGCAAGGCTAATAGAATTTATTGTCATTAATGTCTTAAAAAGGGAGATCATATTGCTCATTTATAGGATTAAAAAACTTTAGTTGAATTAATTAATTTTTTTTATGAAATGGAACAAGAAAGTGAAAATTTAATATCAAAATTATGTTCAATTATTAATGAATTAAAAGAATTGACTTTAGAATTAAATTAAGGATTAAGAAAAAAATATTAATTCTCTAAAGAGAGATTATAAAAATTAAATGCAAGGCAATTGAATTCAACTTTAGATTAAATAATTTAATTTGATGAATTTAAAACTGGCTTATTAACAGAACTAGAGCCATAGTATAATAATTTGATCAATAAATTAAAAAGACAAATTAAAGATTTGAAACTAGATCAAAAATAAGACATAAATAAACAACAGCCTTTTTCATAAATCATAGAGCAAACAAATAAATAATAATATAATAAATAACAAAAAGAAATAGATAAAGTTGAAAAATTATTTTAAAAAGGTATTGATTAAATTAATGTAGGATACAGATTATAATTAGACAATAGTAATTATAGGGGAGCATTAGAATTCTTAGATTCTGCATTATCCATTAATCCAAATCATTTTTAATCATTATATTTAAAAGGTATAAAAACTATATATAAATGTATTAGCTAAATGTTTATATATGCTTGGTGATTTAAATACTGCAATAATATGGGCTGGTTAAGCCTTGGCTATTAATCCATAGCATGTAGATTCATTATAAATAATAGGTAATTAATCATTTATTATTTAGGTGAATCAATACGTGAAATGGGTAAATTTGAGGAAGCTCTTAAAATTTTTGATAAAGCATTGATAATTAATCCAAATAATGATTTTAGTTTGTACTTAAAAGGTTTGCATATTTATATTTATATAGGAAAATGCTTACAATCATTATAAAAATATTAAGAGGCCATAATTTTCTATAAGAAGTCTACTTTGATCAATCCATAAAATTTACTATCTAAAAAAGGCATAAGTATATATAATAACTTACATCTATAGTTGAATGTGAGAGACAAACTTATAAAAATAAATTATTCAGATGATTATTCGATAATGTATATAAATATATTACAAATAATAATATCCTAAAATGAGATAAATATATGTATATATAAACTTTCCCTTTTCATACAAAAAATCAACTTGGCTTTAGAGAAGCATTCATGTTGAATATTGTTTTCTAATTTTTAATTTAATGGTATAAATATACTTGATTTTTGTAGAGGATTATAAATTTATCATATAACTCTTAAATGAAAATAAATCTAAGTACTTTTTAAATATAGGATTGTAACTTAATATCCCATTCTTTTATGTCATGTCATGAAGTATTTAATCAAATGATTAAAACAGAATAAGACTCCAATTTTAAAAGAGTGTTTAAAACATCGAAGGATTTCTTCTTATTTTCTTCAATCATTTTGATAATTTTTTTAATCCATCATATGGGCATCTGATTCATAATAATATATTTACAGTCATCAATATTAACAATGAATAATGTCATCATTTGTTCTTGGAGAGGATTTGTTAAATGGATTATTTTTTATAATATAATAAGATAGTGAAAATAATAACAATATTTAATTCCTTTTGTTTTTTTTTTTTATGATTTTAAATATACAAGCAGACTATAAATAAGAAACAAGATTTCATATAGAATTATTAAAATAAGAAAAATACAACACCAACTAATTAATAATAATCATAATATTAATTGTTAATTTTTCTGAATAGAATCTTTAATTATGATGATAGACGCTAATTGTCTAATTTTAGAATAATTATTAGCTGATTGGACATCCATTCTATCTATTTTTGAAGTCTGTTAGATTAAACATTATATATAGATTTCTTAAAATCCTTAAGCTATGATCACTTATATATTTTTATATTTAAATATTCAAATCCATTATTCATTAAACATGCAACTGTATTCCCAAATGTATGATTTCTTAATCTATAAGTTTATTTTACCACATTATTTCAGACTTAATAGAAAAAGATGATTCTTATTACAATTTTCAACTTATTAAATCTTAATACACTCTTATTATTATTCCTTAACATTTTCTAACATTTTGGTCTATTTTATATTGAGCCTAACTCATTTCAATTTTAGATTTAAAAATAATTCTACATATTATTTATAACCTTCCTTAACTTATTAAATAAATATTTCCATTTACCTAACTTAGTCCTAGTCATCTAAGATAGAGAGCATAATTTTTAAGAGTTAAATATTCTCACTTTATTTTTTTTTATCATTAAACTATATAAGTTTCCAATATATAATTAGAATTATCGTTAATATTATTCAATTAAGTATCTTGTAAATATAAGTTTATTTCAAAGATCATTGTTAAAGCTAATAATTTTTCATTAAGAATATAAATGATCTTGATTAATTCTTTCATATCTATTTTTTAATATTTAAAAATCTTAAGGGAATTCGCCTATTAAATTATATTTAGAATTTGAAATTAAATATCATTGTATAATATGAAAGCAACCTAATTCCTCTATTAAAACATTTTTAAAGAGCAATAAGACTCAAAAGCAAAAGCTTTAAAAAAAAAGGTTTAAATATTTTCATCAGTAATAGTCAAAAAGAAAATTAAAGCTAAGCACTTCATTACATAAATCTGTTGATAACTAAAGTGAGTAAAAAATCTATTCTTTAGTTAATTTAACTGTGTAATTTTGATTAATATTATTTTTAGAAAGGATGGTTAAAACGAAAAGGTTTCAATTCCCGCCTAATTGATTTCCCGATCCTCAAAAGTCAAACATTAAAATATTCTTAATAAAACTATGGAAATAGCTAGAACTTTAAAGAAACTTAAACCTTTATCGACTTTAGATGCTTCTTCTGAATTGATATAAGTATAATAAGGGAAGAGTATTGATTAATAATTTAAGGGTCCTAAAAAATAAGTTTATCTAAAATAAATAAATATATTGACAGATGGACAATACAAAAAAACTTAAACTTATCTATTGTTTGGATCAATAGAATAAAAAATAAATCAAAATACTGTATTGTGTATATTAAGAATTCAAAATTTAAAATTTTTTAATGATTATAATTCAAAAAATCATAACAATCCAGCATTATTCAGTTGGGAAGTATTATATCGAAAGTAAAGTTTAATGAAGAGTCTTCCAAAAGAATATTAAAAAGCATAAACAGAAATACTTGATTTTGTTTATACAAGAAATGGACATGAAATTGTTGAAGTAATATTGTGGAAAGTGAAAAATAATGATGAAGTATATATTTATTAATATTTTTTATAGAAATATGTTGGATAATTTGATATAATAAATGATGATTATGTTGAAGCAAAGAAAGTACTTAATTATTAAAAAAAAGTGATTACTGAAAATTTGATTGAAAAAGAAATGTTTAAATCTATGAAATAAACTAAATCCTATATTGGGAATGTATAATTTCAAATAATTTAATTTGGAAATGAAAATATCATATAAAGTATAAATTAATTTTTATTTAGTTAAAAATTCTGGAAATCCTGGATCTCCTAAAAATGAAAAAGAAAAAACAGATCATCGTATTATTGATTAGGTAATGTAAGGACAATAATATAAATGGAATAATGATGAAAATGAATAAATAGTGAGTCAGAATATAGAATAGATTACTTCAAAAATAGTACCTGAATGCACTGTTGAAGTTCTTACAATTGAATGTGGACAATTAGTATTGATTTACGAATAAAAATATAATAATCCTGATCTTTATGGTAGATCTAGACCCAATTCAAGATTAATTAAAAAATAAAATTTTGATGCAAATATGGCATTATTATATGAATTAAATAGATAAGGATAATTTAATAAAATTTAAACTCATCTTAGATCTCTAAGTAGATAAGGAAGATTATCTAGAAAAGTTATTGAAGAATCTTTATATGAAATGAAATGTACAGCTAATTAATTATTCTTAACTGAATGTATAGAATTTGGTGATAACTTAATGGATTTTCTTATATTAAATGATGATTTATTAGGAATTCTTGAAGCAATACAAGAAATTAAATTCTTAGGAGAAGAAGAATTAAATTTAGAGGGTTTTTCTAATAATCTATTTTAACTTATAGGTTAACATTTGAGAAAAAATACTAAATTAAAATCTATTATTTATTTTATCAAAGCTTTAGAAAAAAAACCTGAAATAGGTATTTTGATACAAAATTATTCCTATGCAACAGAAAACATTTTATCTAATAAACCTCCATTTTTAAATAGTATTTATATATAACAATATTTTAGATTTCAATCCAAAGAATTATGAGCATATAATGGTTTTAGGAAAATTGAATAAGATGATTTAAAAATTTTAAATTGATACAAAATTCACAAGAGCTTTAAAATAGGCTCATATAGATGCAAAGATGTCAATTTATTTTGATATACCTTGTTTTCCAAAAGATTAAAATTTATTTAAGAAAGCTGAATCCTTATAACTTAAATAAATTGGTTAAAATATTATACATGAAATTGTGAGAAGATAAAAATGGGAAAAGAGTCATTAAATATTTCAAAAATATTCAGAATGGTTTTTTATTGCAGATTTCTAAGGAATTACACCATTTTCTAATATTTTAGAAATAGCTCCATTTTAAGTACTTTAATCACTTTTTAATGCCTATAAATAATAATTAAATGATATTTTTTAATAATTCAATCCATATAAAGATATGTTTATTGGAAATATACCAAAACAGGAATCAAATAAAGATTAAGAAGATAATTAAAAATAATAATCTATTTTATAAAATACAACAAAAGAATAACCTTTCTAATGGGCCAAAATGTAAAAGGAATATCGTAAAAACATTTTACATAATGTAATTTTAAATCCAAACTTTACAGCAAATGAGATTTTAGAAATATTAATATCTATTGAATAATTTGTTAATCTATCAAATAAATCAAATTTTTCAATATTGAAAACTTAAAAAATAAGAGCTGGAGATTTTACACCATTGGCTTTATACTTAGAAATATTAGGATCAAAATGTAAGAAAAAATTAGATAGAGTTTAAAGAGAATTTGGTACATCTTTGTTTATATGTTAAAAATTAATTCCAGATTAAGATGAGATACAAGGTGAATAAATAGAATAAGAATAAAAGGAAGTATCTTTTGTTTGGGATATTGACAATTAATTTATTATTTAATCACTCATTTCAAAACTACCAGAGAGTTTATTTTAATAAATAGATTTTTTGTTTCCATTTATTTAATGGATTCCACCATTAGAAAAATTAAAAACTATTAGATATATTAATTTACCTTGCAGATTATTGATTAAAAATAAATAACAATAAAAGTTAATAATTATTTTGTAATAAATGTATAATGATGTAAAAAAATAAGAGTATTATAATAATTCATTAGAATCAGATGAAATTTTATTAATACTATATTATTTTTAAATTTAGATTTTAATGTTGTTGGAAATAAGAAATTAAAAAGCTTAATATTTGGAATATGTATAAAATTTAATAGTACGTTAACTAAAGGATTTTATTTAATCATATACAGAAATTTTGGTAATATCTATGCCTATAAATATTATATCTTCATATTATGAACTCAAATATTTCTATAAAGGAAAACCACAAACATTATTAGAATTCTTAAACTTGGTGTAATTCAATACATTAATTACAGAAATAGAGGTTAAAAATTTAGACAGGTTGGACACAAAATTATTGGGGAAAGCATTATCAAATTCTAAAAATAAAGAACCTTTAAAGGATTTAATATAATTTTTATTAATTAAGGATTAAAATAAAGACGAAACTGAAAAATATAATTATGACAGCAAGGAATTTTCTATAATAATTAATCCAAATTTATTATTAGATGAAAAAGAAAATGGCTATAGAGATAAATTAAATAAAGAATAAATTGAAAAAATGATGAGCATTGCAAAGGCTGATTAAATTCTGTAGCTAGTATGTGATAACTCAATATTTAGTCGAATTGTTCATAGTTTGATTTTAAATTCATTTTAAACTAAAAAATCTATTGGGATAACATAAATACAAATACTGCATTCGTTTAGAAATTATGATTTTAAAATAAGTAATATTTGGAAAAAGCTTTATATAGACTATTTTCGAAATAAAATGGATTTATATTGTATCCATTGTCTGTTATATATTGAATATTCATTAAAAAATTAAACCTGTTATAATAATAATTAACTTTTACCTTATATTAATGCATAAGGAAGAAGTTGGGCAGCTATACTTGATTATAAAAGATTTAAACGAGCTCTTAAGGATAATATCTAATTTATTGATATTGAAGATGCTATTAGGGCTGTTGCTATAAATGGATAATATGATAAACTTGAAATCCTAATTCCGTATTTAAAGGATTCTTAAATTCTTCGTTAAACTATATAATTAGTCAGCATTATTGCTGAAAGACAAATGATATAGGAATAATATGAACGCTACATTTTCGGAAGAGTATATTTAACATCATTTGAAGATATACTCTTTAGTGATGATGAAGAAGAAAATTAAAAATAGCCTAAAAGAATTATTCAATCCAATTTGAATAAATAGGAATTAAAAAAATTAGTAAGAGATCGTCTTGATTTACCTGGTAAACTTGATAAATCTGGATTTATAAATCATTTGAAGATTTTAGATTCTCATTTTCTATATCGTTTTGATCTTATATCTACTATACCAAAAAATTCTAGTAAAAAATAAAAAGAAAAATTATAAGCTGAGAAATTTGTATTTCCAGAAACTCTAGATTAAATCAGAAATCCAATATCTATTTAAAATTAATTACTAGAAATGGACTCTAATATATAATAAGAATTAGAATCATATAAATAAAAATAATATCCAAAGCCTGAAAGAATTAATCTATTAAAATTTGAGTAATAATTTGAAAAATATATCTATAATTTTCAATATCTGAAAAATTTAAAATCTTCAACATAAAGATAATCGATTAGAACATTGTTCACTCAAGATTACTATGAATCGGATAAATATTCATTTAAAAAGGTGTTAATTTAATTAACAAATGAATATAAGAAATATAAAGTCCCATTATGCTAAAAGGATGACGATTATGAAATAGTTCTTAAAATGTTGGCCTATAACAAAATTATAACTATTGATGAATTCATTAAATAAATACTTTCAAGTAAAATAGATATTTAAAAAAAAAATAATCTACTTTTGAAACTTTTAATCTAATTATTTAATTGTAAAAATAAATAAGTTTTTGAACAGTATTAATTGTAAAACTAGGAAATTTTTATATAATTAATTCCATTAATCATAAAAAATCTTAGAATTTTGGATGAATCTAATTTAGAATAATTAAATAATTTAATCCTTAATCGAATAAATTTAATTCTTAAAAGATTTAAATCTATTGTTCTTAATCCTTTATAAATTTATAAATAGAAATTGGTAAGCGAAATCTTAATGAACCTATATTAATCAAAAATAAAAGATTAATTTCAAGATTAATTAAAGAATATAGCTCAAACAATAAGAGAAAGAAATTTGAGTGATAAAATACTATAATAATTTGCTAGTTATTATTTAAAAGAAAAAGATAAAATATTGAAAAAAAAACGTCTTACTCATAATGAGATAATAATGTCATTTAAAAAAAAATAATTAAATGAAGTATTATAAAAAACTGATCTAATAAATTACGTTTCTAATTTTTCTGATAAAATTTGTTAAGAAATATTTAAAGAATTATGTAAACTTCCTTGGGATTAGAAATTTAAAAATGATATACTTAGTAAATTTGATGGAAGATTATTTGAATCTTTAATATTCTATAGGCGATATAAGGCCTATGATACTTTGATTCATGAAATTTTATAAAAGAAAATATGTAATTAAGATGAGGGAATTTTTAAATAAAAAATTACTGAAATTGAAAGCTATTAAATTTAAACTATCCAGCTATAGAATGATAAAATGTAATAAGAAGACAAAACATAATAAAAGGAAGAGAATAAATAATTTTCTTTATCTTAAATGGCAGCATAATTTAGCTTCTATGAATATTATGATACTCTTCATAGGTTGAATATAAAAGTAAAAGAAATTGAACCATTCCCTTCTATTAGATTTATGTTGGAGACAAATAATTAATTATAGATTTTAGCTGTAGAATATGAGAAAAAGGAGTTAAATTATATTAGTAATTGTATAAAAATGATGAGATATTTAAGATTGAATCATTATGATACATAAACTTTCTATAAGAATTTTGAAAGTGAACTCATGTTTAGTTTCATAGTTGAAGATATTTCAACAATGGAAGTCTGGAGCTTAAACATAATTAAATTATACTTAATTATGAATAGAAGACCATAACCGTTTTGGTAAGACTCTATTATTAGGTCGAAATATGAAAGCAGAAATTATCAATTTTTCAATAAAAAATATATCATTCCAAGATTATTTGAACTTTCATTAATTAAATTAAAAATAAATGGAGTTGAAAAAGGAGTGAAATTTTGTTTTCCTTCAAATTATGATTCTGAAAGTGATTAATATTCAATATCAATTGAGGATATAAATTAGACATAAACAAAAAAACCAATTTTTTCACTTGATGAATATATTGATTGTTTAGATAAAAATGATCCTTTGAGATTAGAAAATTAAATATTGAATGATCCTAATTTCTAATCTATTTTAAATAAACTATTAGTAATTAATTAGAACTAAGAATTTCTAGTAGATAAGATAAACATTTTTACATATTTAAAATATATTGTTAGTCATAATTAAATTCATGAAATGTAATACTATTTACTAAACTTTCCTTTATTTTGGTATGATTAGAAAATTCCAAAAGAAAACCTTATTATAAATACTTTCTTTTTGAATTTAGAATTAGGATTGGTCTTTTTTAAATCATTATTAATCTTTGAACCACAACTATTGGATTAGATTTTAGATATATATTTTTCTTCTTTGATGGAATTTGCAAAAAAAGTAGATTAGAAAGATAACGAATATAATAACGAGGATAATGAAAAAAAAGAAGAAAATTAGTTTTAATTTTAAGATTATAAAAGTTAAAGTGATTTGGAACCTTATGAGGATGAAGAAACTGATAAAGAAGAAGAAAATTAATAGGAATTATAATAAGATGATAATATAGAAGATAGTAATTCTGAAGCATATGATCAATAGATTTCTGAATAAAATGAATTAAACCTAAAGATTACATTGAACCATTGAAAGGATTAAGAAGATANCAGCTATAGAATGATAAAATGTAATAAGAAGACAAAACATAATAAAAGGAAGAGAATAAATAATTTTCTTTATCTTAAATGGCAGCATAATTTAGCTTCTATGAATATTATGATACTCTTCATAGGTTGAATATAAAAGTAAAAGAAATTGAACCATTCCCTTCTATTAGATTTATGTTGGAGACAAATAATTAATTATAGATTTTAGCTGTAGAATATGAGAAAAAGGAGTTAAATTATATTAGTAATTGTATAAAAATGATGAGATATTTAAGATTGAATCATTATGATACATAAACTTTCTATAAGAATTTTGAAAGTGAACTCATGTTTAGTTTCATAGTTGAAGATATTTCAACAATGGAAGTCTGGAGCTTAAACATAATTAAATTATACTTAATTATGAATAGAAGACCATAACCGTTTTGGTAAGACTCTATTATTAGGTCGAAATATGAAAGCAGAAATTATCAATTTTTCAATAAAAAATATATCATTCCAAGATTATTTGAACTTTCATTAATTAAATTAAAAATAAATGGAGTTGAAAAAGGAGTGAAATTTTGTTTTCCTTCAAATTATGATTCTGAAAGTGATTAATATTCAATATCAATTGAGGATATAAATTAGACATAAACAAAAAAACCAATTTTTTCACTTGATGAATATATTGATTGTTTAGATAAAAATGATCCTTTGAGATTAGAAAATTAAATATTGAATGATCCTAATTTCTAATCTATTTTAAATAAACTATTAGTAATTAATTAGAACTAAGAATTTCTAGTAGATAAGATAAACATTTTTACATATTTAAAATATATTGTTAGTCATAATTAAATTCATGAAATGTAATACTATTTACTAAACTTTCCTTTATTTTGGTATGATTAGAAAATTCCAAAAGAAAACCTTATTATAAATACTTTCTTTTTGAATTTAGAATTAGGATTGGTCTTTTTTAAATCATTATTAATCTTTGAACCACAACTATTGGATTAGATTTTAGATATATATTTTTCTTCTTTGATGGAATTTGCAAAAAAAGTAGATTAGAAAGATAACGAATATAATAACGAGGATAATGAAAAAAAAGAAGAAAATTAGTTTTAATTTTAAGATTATAAAAGTTAAAGTGATTTGGAACCTTATGAGGATGAAGAAACTGATAAAGAAGAAGAAAATTAATAGGAATTATAATAAGATGATAATATAGAAGATAGTAATTCTGAAGCATATGATCAATAGATTTCTGAATAAAATGAATTATAGGAACCACCAAAAATAAAGAAAAAAAAGAAGGTAATTAAGTATAAACCTAAAGATTACATTGAACCATTGAAAGGATTAAGAAGATAATTATAATTGAATTGTCCTGATTAGATAAGATTCTAAATATATATCCAATTGCTTTTTCTCGCAACTACTAATGAAGAATCTTTTTAACTTATCCAAAAATATTTAATACAATATTAATCATTGCCTCCTTTAAAGGAACCTAAGGAAATTAATTTTGAAGTACAATCTAGATTATTAGAATAGGGATATCAAGAACCCTATAATGAATAATTCATTCAATAAATAGAATCAAATATTAATGCATTATCATAATAATAGATTGAGGATATTTAACATGTGAAAGAAATTTTAAAATTCAATCAAAATCTTAAAGAAACTAAGTATAGTAAAGTATATTAGTTTTTAATTACTCAGATATATAAAACCAAATACTCAGGATTTTAGAATATTATTGATAACTTATTAAGGAATCCTGCATATTCATGTTTAATCAAATAGAAAAATAATATATTTATGAATTCTCTATAAAATGATAAATAATTTTAAGAAGAAATTATTATTTATCATCAATAAAATAGGAAAGTAAATGATGAGAATTTTTTATTTAAGAAAATATAAATAAATAGAGATTTTATAGATAAATTCTTTTAAGGAAAATCTAATTAATAATTTACAAATGATAAATGGATACATATATTATGTTTATTTAAGTATTGTTAAGAATTAGAAAAACAATTTATTGAATTTGATTAAAATGAAGGAAAAACTAAATTATAAGTACTTTCTTTATTAGATGATAATGAAGTCAGTATAGGTTTTGAAGGATATATATAGAAAACAGATACATTTAATGTATCTTATTGCTTTAAATTTGTAATCTCTGATAAATTTACACCTATAACTTATCAACATACTAAAAAACAATCTGAAAAATAAAAAAAGCATTCTTGTTATTTCTTTAATTTTGATATAACTATAAATATTTTAAGAAGTAAAAATCCTAATAATCCATTTCCAATAGTATATTTATATTAAAAAACTTATGATGAATTGGATAAGATTTTTAGAATTTTTATGTTTGATTATTATATTGATGTATTTCTTCTTGATGAAAAAAAAAATTGTTAGGAAATGTAAAAATTATGTGAAGATGATTTCATTGATAGTTATATTATTAAATAGAAATTAAATATTGAAAATTATCAATAATTAAGAAATATTTAATAGGTAGATAAATATTATTTAAATGAAATTATTAATTCTTTTTAAGATCAAAAAAAAGATAGATTAAATTTATTATAATATATATAAAAAAGTGAAGAATAACCAGATGGAATAGAAATTGATTATTAAAATTAAAAAAATTGGATATTCATAAATCCAAGAATTTAAAAAGATATAAACATACAATTTTAAGATAAATTATAGAGTAATTTATGATTTTATTCTTCTTTTAGCTCTTCCATTTAGTAATTATAAACCAAGAATTTAAAAATAATTGAATTAGAAAATTTAAATAGATTTAACATTTCCAGAATTATATCCTGTTACTTCACTATAAGTTTATAAATACATACCAGTAATAATTACTTAAGAAGAATAAAATTAAAAATATGATTCTTTATCACTTCTTTAATTTGCTTGTGTAAATTATTATATATAAAATTTTAGGTTGAGATCGACACCTATACAAAATTATTAAATGATTTTTTAACAAAATTACCTAGTGATGATGATGAAATTGATTAATTTTTAGAAAACCCTAAACCAAGGAATGTCTATTGGCCACTTGTATAAAAAAAAAATAATTCTGCAAAAGGATATTCCCATAAGTTTAAATACACTTACATTATTGAAACTATTCCATTATATTTAATGGTTTATCTGTTTTAAAATTTGAATATAGAATTAGATCATGAAATTAAATTTACTTTAAATTGCTTATCCTTTACTGAAATAATTCTAAGCAAATTAATAAGAATTATTTAATAAAGCACAGGCAAAAGTATAATTAATTACATATAAAATAGAATGTAAAATAGCTACAGCAATATCTATATTAAAATAATGGATTTGGTTTAAGAAAATATTGATTAATATTGGGGACTTAATAATAGAGAATGATATTAATAAATTTAAAGCATATTATGTAGAAATTAATGAAATTAATCCAAATGAAGTGAGTTATTTTTATTATATTTTAAAGGCATTTAATTTAAAGTATAATAAACTTGAAGGGATGGATTCATTATTTAGATTTGGTAAAACTTAGTACTTTGTACATTCAGGTGTTCTCATAATTAGATTAAATATAGCTTTGGTTTCTGAAAACCTAAAATCAAAGGTTAACCTAAAAAGCATCAAGTTGAATCAAAAATAAAGTGATTTGTTTTCAGATGACAAAGACCTTATTGTATATTTTAATTCATTTCTATTTAGAAATATATGTAATTTATTGTCACACCAGAAGAAATATTAAAATGCTTACTTAGCAAAAATTGAAACAAATTTAAATATTAAATCATTTTTATAATAATATTTTTATTCTTTAATATCTAAATTTGCTTAAATTAAGCTTAAATCAAAATTAATATAATTAAGTATGAGATAATTCTTATTAATTTTTTAATTTTATGAATTGAGTATTCGATCATATTGATAAAATGATTATCAGATTAGTGGTCAAATTTACAAAAGAATTAATGTTAATAATATTAATTTGAACATCCTTATTATTATTTAGTATTTGGAATGTTTTATTGCAATTTTGACATCCCTTCTTCATTATTCCTCTAAATTTTTCAAAACTAATTAGTTAGATTATTCATATTACTCATAAGGATAATAAGATATAAAATTAGAAATACTTTTTATTTTTTAATGTAGAATAAACATAACTATAATAATAACATACCATAGAAAAGATGTATAAAATCTATCTTATCCTTTCTAAATAATTAAAAATAATACCTAAATTATTCTTTGGTTTTTATATTTTTGTAATAAACTTCAAACTATTCTTTGTGTTATTTATTTTCTGCAAGGAATACATGAAGGTTTCGTGTTTTGTANATTTTTAGAAAACCCTAAACCAAGGAATGTCTATTGGCCACTTGTATAAAAAAAAAATAATTCTGCAAAAGGATATTCCCATAAGTTTAAATACACTTACATTATTGAAACTATTCCATTATATTTAATGGTTTATCTGTTTTAAAATTTGAATATAGAATTAGATCATGAAATTAAATTTACTTTAAATTGCTTATCCTTTACTGAAATAATTCTAAGCAAATTAATAAGAATTATTTAATAAAGCACAGGCAAAAGTATAATTAATTACATATAAAATAGAATGTAAAATAGCTACAGCAATATCTATATTAAAATAATGGATTTGGTTTAAGAAAATATTGATTAATATTGGGGACTTAATAATAGAGAATGATATTAATAAATTTAAAGCATATTATGTAGAAATTAATGAAATTAATCCAAATGAAGTGAGTTATTTTTATTATATTTTAAAGGCATTTAATTTAAAGTATAATAAACTTGAAGGGATGGATTCATTATTTAGATTTGGTAAAACTTAGTACTTTGTACATTCAGGTGTTCTCATAATTAGATTAAATATAGCTTTGGTTTCTGAAAACCTAAAATCAAAGGTTAACCTAAAAAGCATCAAGTTGAATCAAAAATAAAGTGATTTGTTTTCAGATGACAAAGACCTTATTGTATATTTTAATTCATTTCTATTTAGAAATATATGTAATTTATTGTCACACCAGAAGAAATATTAAAATGCTTACTTAGCAAAAATTGAAACAAATTTAAATATTAAATCATTTTTATAATAATATTTTTATTCTTTAATATCTAAATTTGCTTAAATTAAGCTTAAATCAAAATTAATATAATTAAGTATGAGATAATTCTTATTAATTTTTTAATTTTATGAATTGAGTATTCGATCATATTGATAAAATGATTATCAGATTAGTGGTCAAATTTACAAAAGAATTAATGTTAATAATATTAATTTGAACATCCTTATTATTATTTAGTATTTGGAATGTTTTATTGCAATTTTGACATCCCTTCTTCATTATTCCTCTAAATTTTTCAAAACTAATTAGTTAGATTATTCATATTACTCATAAGGATAATAAGATATAAAATTAGAAATACTTTTTATTTTTTAATGTAGAATAAACATAACTATAATAATAACATACCATAGAAAAGATGTATAAAATCTATCTTATCCTTTCTAAATAATTAAAAATAATACCTAAATTATTCTTTGGTTTTTATATTTTTGTAATAAACTTCAAACTATTCTTTGTGTTATTTATTTTCTGCAAGGAATACATGAAGGTTTCGTGTTTTGTATTACTGATAATGATAGAATTATTATTTGAAAAATAATTTAAAGCAAAATAGCTTATGTAAATAATATCATAAAAATATTTATTATCTTCATTAATATGCTATAAATTTTATATTTTTTCTAATTTTCCTTCTATTAAAATATCTTGCAATAAGAATAATAGAGTTTATAAGACTTAAAGTATTAAAATTATTAGAAATTAATTTCATCTAAGATGAAAGTAATGGAATCTAGATAGTATTAAAGAATAATAGATCTACTTTATTTTTGAAATTCTAAAGTTCTTAAAATAATATGAACTATCAGACTAATTTAACCCTTAGTAAGTAGAAAAAGTAACAAAAAAAGATGACCAATCTAAATTTACATCACTAGAGTCACTTGAATACAATAGCTCTTGTAATTAAATCTAAATATCATTATAATCATTGTAGAAAGGATTATACGTTATTTGAAAATAGATTTATAGAGTTGAAATTGAATGTTGAAGGGTATTAGTATGTTTAAATGTTGTATTAAAAATAATTAGCTTGCATACTTTCAATAATAATTTAAGATCTAAATATTAGCACTAATTTATATTATGAATAATTAAGGTATCTTTAATTAAATTGCCAAATTGATATTTATTAATAAAGTTTTCTCAATTATTCGATTCTGCATTCAGAGTCACATCTCCATTTTCTAAATTCCCATCATCATAATTCTCTTGTTCTGACTTAATAACTCCATCTCCACATAAACTTATACAAATTATATTTTAGAAATCAGTATTATTATAACCATCGCCATTTCAATATCATGATGTGTATAAATGATTAGCCTTTTCAAATAATAGAATTATTGCCACATTGTAAAAATTAATCTAAAAATGGAGAAATGACATACAAACATGACATATAAGATCCAATAAAATGAATCTTAAACAATTTTTAAAATAGATTCCACAACTATTACAAATAGAAAATTCAAAAATTCTGTTATTCTGATAATATGAAAATTAAATATCATTTTTTTTATTAATATATTTAATATTTCTACTGCTACCTAAAATAAACTAATTTAAATAATTCATTTATTCTTTGTTTACTAGTTGAAAGATCATAAAATTTATTCCCTAAAAATACGTCGTATTAATAATCATTCTAAATCACTATTTATTTAGAATAATATAAAATTGAACTGATTCTTCAGTAATCTGTAATAAAATTTACAAAGTTTACTAGTATTATTATTGTTACATTATAAATAATTCAACTTTGAAACTAAATATTATATCTTAATAATTCAAATAGTAGTTTAATGATGATATTTGACAATTTCAATATTATAAGTATCTATATTTAATGATTTATTAATTTCAATTTTATAAGTAATTAAATTGTTGTCCTTGTTCTGATCTATTTCTGTTATTACTAATCTAAGCAATTATCACTCCGTTTATTAAAAAATTCGCATAATTTTATCTATTAGTTCAATTATAACTGTCATTCTATATAATATGGTAGATATTTGCTGGCGATTGATTATTTGGTAATATATCAAATTAATAATTGTTAATATTTAAAATAAGAATGTTTATTTTCTATAAATTAATCAAAATAATTATTTTAATTTTTTTAAATAATTCTCATTTTTCTGTTAATATTCTAATTTATATTTCTTTAGATGATTTATCCCAAGTAATCAAATACTCTCCATCATCACTCATTTATCCATATAAACAATTACTATCAAATTTAATCGATTATTCAACTTTAAATTCATCATTTTATGTCTTTCTTATTAAATTGACACATTTATAATGTTTATCCACTAATAACTATTTTTATCTAATAAATTATTATCCAAATAATCCATATTAATCATCATCACTTTGATTTACAATAATATCCTTAGTTTTAGTAAACTTTTTAGTTAATCCATTTAATTCATAAATATGCATCTAATTGCCTTTTTCAGGTTAAAATGTAAATAAATTATTGTTTATAAAACATAATTTTCTTCCTTCGCATTCAACTTCAATATTTTAAATTACAATCCACTCTTAATTATATTTAGAGTATTCAATTACTAATATTTATTTATCCCATCCACAAGAAATAACTTAATTTTCTAAATCATTTAAACTTAATTAATCAACATAATTATTATGATTTGTTATAGTTTATTAACAAATCCATTTATCTTGTTTTATCCAAAATTTTATAGTATGATCACTACTACTAGATATTAAAATATCTTCATTATTATTTAAAATTAAACATCGAATAGCATCTTTATGTCCTTTAAATGAATATGAACGATTCCATTAATTATTATTTTTTTACCAAATTAAAATAGATCCTTTACAATCTCCAGATATAAATTAATCTGATTTTTTCATGAAATGTAAATTAAATACATTATAATTATGTCCATTTAATACTTGTATTTAATTTAAGAATCTTTATTTTAATTCAAATATTTTTATATATTCATTGCAACCAAGTGCTACTATTGAACAATCCTTATTAAAAGCAATTGCAAAACAACTTTCATCTTAATTAATAGTATTAAACTTCATGAGCTCATAAGTGAATGGCTTAAGATTTGGTTATAATATACAAGAATGAATTGTTTATTCTAAATTTAATTTATCTAAGTCAGAATGTGGAAGTTATTCATTATTATTATATTTTAAATCAGTTTAATTCTTTATTTTTTTTAGTATTTCATTTACAATCGATTTTCCTTATTCGATTGATTAATTAAGTTGTTTTAATAATGTTTTTTCACAACCCTCTATTTTACTTAAATCTTTTATTAAATTGTCAATTTGTGATACTCCTAATTATGAAATTTATTAAATATTAAAGTTCAAATAAGGAAACAAAAAATTTAATAGGCTATCAAGAGCTGCTTTAAATTCTTAAACATCCTTTTATATACTATTAATCTTAACGATTTCTTGCTCAATCCATTCATATAAAAGCTCTAAAGTTGTTAACTTATCTAAATGTTAAATGTGGCTTTATATGCAAAAATTACAATAGGGTCTTTAATTTTGGCAAGAAGCATCTATGCAGAACCCTAATATGTATTGATTTTTATGATCAGCTTAGGTACATTTTATTTACATTTACATTGTTCTAATTCTATTAAAATTAATATTAAATATTTTTTAACTATTTTTGTTTAAATATATTCAAATTATTAATTAGCTTAATTTCTAATTAAAATATTTTCCTTCAAATCATCTTTTTAATTTAAAAAAAATGTAAACAAAATTACAAATTTCAACAATTCTTTGAATTCACCCAATCGAATAAATTTTATAAAATCAAATTTAATCCATAAGAATTACTTTCTTAGATCATGTTTTATGAAATTTATTAAATCATAAATGATAAATGAATATAATTAACGATTTAAAAGACTTCTCAATTAATTATCAAAATTAGATCTTAATGATAGTAATGTCAATTATCCACTATCATCATTGAAATAAAATTTATATTTTAACTATTTCTTTCATTTATTGCTAAATTCATTTTTCGAAATAAAAGTATAATACTATTTTGTATTATTCGATAATAAATTTAATATAATACTTTTTAAAAACTTAAATTTCAGTATAAAATTTATTAATTTATCTTTTGGATCTTCAGTAACATTAATAATTAAAACATAATATAGAAATATTGAATGAATTTAAATTTACCCGAATTCTTTAAAAAGTGATATTTAGGATAAATAAATTTTTAGAAATGTATACTCTAAAAAATACTTGTCAATTCTTTAGAATGATAAAATATTATCAATATTCTATAATAATGTACTTATTATTAGCTTATAATTTATAAATGCTTTGATCAAATTATTATTATAGAGATATTAAATCTATTGACGAGGTTCCTTTGGTAAATTTGGTTCTAAAATATCTGGATTGAATAATTTTGATTCTTAAATATATCATAGATTATGTTTAACCCATTTTATATATTTTCACTTGATTAGTAAAAGAACTAGGGATCCTTTCACTCTTTTATTAGAATTGGCTATTCCATTCCAATTCCATCCTCTAACTTCTAACAAGTTATTAGAATTTAGGGAGCATTTGGAGAATAGCTGATTTTCCTAATTGGATAGAAGATTTAACCCTATTGCCTATTACTAAAGTAGGAAAAATTCTAGAATTAAATAGGGAAACATTATCACAATCATGAATTTAAGACATTGTAACCAAATGGATTTTCAATTTGGTGAGATGTTTCCTATAAGCCTATAGGGAAATTATTTAGGATTTCAATAATTTCATTTTGTTCTAATGATCTATTATAATATTAAAATATATTACATGCATAAGCATTCATCTTAATCTAAATCTTTAGTAACTCTCTAAGTTCATCAATTTTTACCTTTTTAAAAATATTTTAAGTATATTAAATATACTAAAAAGTCAAAGATATTAATTAATTAAGAATTAATAAAATCAATTATTCTCTTTAAAAATTTTGCCTTCAAATTAGATGGAATTAACTAATAATAGTTATTTATGATGCTATCTAATTATTTATAAGATATTTTCTAAAGATAAATTATTTGGTTTTTCTAATAAAAATTAAAATAATTTTAGTTGAACCATATTTTATCAAGAATGTTATTTTAAATGTGTATTAAATTAAACTGAAATATTCACTCTAGTGGAAAATGTAATTAAAGAATTTTTTTAACATATATTTGATAAGATCTCTTATATCAATAAAAATATACAAGTAATCATGATAAATAATAAAGTGATTGAAGACTGAAATCTTATAGATAAGCTCTTAATATGAAAATTATAATATTGATGTTTCCATATATACATAATCAAAAAGAAGTCAATTTTAAATAAGGTAATAAATTCTTAATTCAAATGTCAAAATTAACTACTTAATTCTATTATACAAAATTAATTTCTATTTTAGTTCCCAAAAGTGATAACTCTGCTTTTAATTCTCTTTCACAAGAGAGACTGGCAATATTTAATTTTGCAAATGAAGTTGTGGCTCCTTAATTTATTAAATTGTACTCTTAAATAAGGAGTACAATAATAAAACTTTGTGCTAGCCTAAATTACTAATTTTGAATTATAAAACATTTCTTAAGAGCTCAAAGAAAGAGAGAAGAATGATAAGAATATTTTTGATCAACTTTATTAAGAATCTCATATTTTATTGTACTTTAAAAAAACAAGAAAGAAAATAACAATACAATTCACAAATTAAAAAAGTTCAATAGGAAACAATCAAAGAATTGTTCAAGTAAAAAGAATACTTCATGTTGGAAAATACTAAATTAAATGAATTAATTCAATAAAAATCAGAAAATAACATTTAGAATTAGCAATTTTAAGCACCTATGTTATTAAATTCTATTACTTTTTCTGAACCTTATAAATATCATTAAATGGAAAGCTCTTTTCCAATTAGAATCTATTTTATTCACGTTTCTGCGATTAATGCAAAATTTGCTTTTGTAATACATAAGATTGTTGCAAATTAGACTATTGTTGGAATAGGGTACTAATATACATCTTCTAGAAGATAATGAAAGATTATCTTCTCTCTTTTTTATTTTCAGTATTCCATTAATAAATTAATGACATGTAAATTAAATATTTAATCATAAATAGAATTTATTTTATATATATTTTTTAAATGTTAAATTTAATTATCTTTCTTCCAATTTTCTAAGCATACATATTTTCTGATTAAGGCTATTTCAAAAATACAAATTTCTAGATTGACTCATAATTTTCATGTTACTACAATTACAAAAACAATTATTTGATTCCTTTTACAAATAATTTTTTAAACATTCCTCAGATCACTTTTTTTTGGAAATTGCTTGACCTTTATTACTAACAATCAGAATTTTAACTAGATATCTCAAATATTAATACAAAAAGTATAATTAGATTATATTTTAGATTTCACCTTAACCATTAAGTGTCCTTTATATAGAGTTTATGGTGTAGAGATTTAATGGTTTGCAATTGATGATTAACGCATTGAAATAATAAGTCTATTTAATGCAAATGATTTATAACCTAAAATGACATTTGAACATAAAAATCCTAATGCTGAGTTTGGTATTTTAATACCAACTAGCATTTCATAATCTGGTCCATTCAATCTTTCAATTTAAGTAAAGTATATGAGATTTCTTTAGATAACAGAAATAACTCCAAATAATGTCAGCATAGAAATAAATAATTTAATAGAAAATAAAGGTTCATTAAATTAAATAGGATTCTAAATAATTTTAGGCCCTACAGAAGCTTTCACTATAATAGAAAATAAAACCCTTTTGGCTCCATATTAAAGTGATTAAATTAAAAAATAGCCATAATCATGGATCTTTGTCATTATTGAAGAATTTATTTATCGTAAATCAGGCAATTTATATTATTTAGTGTAATGGTTTGAAGATTAATCAACTATATCTTATTAATTCCCTTAATGTATAAATTTTATTTAATTTTAGGGGGAATTTTCAGTCATATCAAAATCAAATCTTATTGGATAACATATAAATTAACCAATAATTATATACGATTGTAGTTAAAAAAATTAGAAATAGTATAAAATAGAATTCAAGTTTAATAGACGACTTAATTGCTTTAAATTGAAATTTTTACTTTATAGAATTAAAAATAGATCTTCAATTCCACTGGTATTTACTCCTTATTAATTGAAAAATATTCCCAGTTACTTACATTTAAAATATCCTATAACTGTTAATATAGTGAAATAGTTGAAAGTAATTTTCAAAATGGTAATGGAACTTTTAATAATTCATACTCTCATACTTATAATTGCAATATATAAACCAATTAAATCATCTATACTATTTAATTCAATACTTAATATGGTGTTTATTAATAACTAATTTTAAACTTTACTAATTAAAATTTTGTAGTTGAGCAAATACTTTATAATTAAGTAAAATCTTAAGATAAATTATTGGAAATAAAAGTATTTTGAATCAAGATGAGAAATTCAAGGTGTGATAAAGATATATGTTATTATATTAAAAAAGAATTAAATTAAAAATTAGATTGTATAATTTAATACTAAAATACATATGATTATTAATTATTGCAATTTTTTTTAGTTCGTATTTTCTTTAAATACAATCTTGCATTTTTAAATAAATTATCTATCTAATTCTTAAATTGATTATTTTACTGCATAAATGTTTAGATATTATTTTGATATATAAAATATAAGAAAATCTACAAGGATGAAAAAAAGCAAAATTAAAAATTGATGAGATAAATAGGATAAGTTCTTAGAAATAATGAAAAAGATTACTTTATTTATAAAATGTTATTTTTTCATCATATTAACACTTATATTTATTTTAAATGAAAAAAAATACAGCATTTTTATATCAGGATGATATTTAGTTTTTTTAAGTTTTTTTCATTTCTCATTCAGTTCTCTATGATAACTATTTCTGAACTTATATAATTATATTTAATTTCTTAAATAACTCAATATCAGTTTAAGATAATTAATTAATTTAAAATAATTCATTATTATTTATCTATTCATCTTGATTTTACTTCATATTCTAATATAAATTTATGATGGATATACTTTATAGTTAGCTTTTATTAATAATAGTTAAAATTATATTAAATAAAACCTTTCATCTTGTATTTATAAAAGGGTTTAAAGTATTTAAAATATAATCAAGCATATAAATAAACACAAATAAAAGGGCATATTAGACTGAAATTCAAATTAGAAAATATTAGTTGGTTCAGAATTAAAAATTCCATTATATTGAATGATTTACAAATTACTCTTTAGATTTATAAACTAAGCATCCAATATATTAATGAATGTTTATCAATTTACTTTTTTTTATACAAAAATATTGTATAATAATGTTTATTTAAAAGCGAATGAGTCTATCATTATGATTGGCATATTAATTAAATTCAATCATTTTTTAAATTTATAGGATTTATCTGGCTCTTTAGCTTAATTCGTTATTTGAACTATGATAACAATTATTAATGATTCAACCTTTTATCATTTAATTACTTATATAATTGATCTTGAGAAAGTTCATAAAATGAATAACTATTTTAATATTTAATTATTTATTCATTGATCATAATTTATACTACTATCATCAATTATTTGTAAAACAATAAATAATAATCCCAAATAAAATGGATTATATTATTAATTTAATAATAAGTTAAAGAAAGATGATATAAAAATTTAATTTTTAAAATGAGGAAAAAAACTAATCAAATGAAAAATCAAAATACTATTATATGAAATTGTATAGCTCAAGATTATAATTTTGTTCTTATTAATTAAATTTTTTTTGAATAAAAATTTAATAAGGATGGTTAAGTTATAATGCTAATTAAAAATTTTTGATAGCTTATTCATTTAAATCCAAAACACATAACAAATTTGCTAAATAGAATATGATTTAAAACCTTTGTTAAAATATGCATTAGCATAATTTGGATCTAATTAAATCGCTTTATCATAGCAGAAATTTGCTTTTTCGAATTATTTCAATTCGTATAAAGTATTACCTAAAATTGATATATGGACATACCTTTGTTATTATAGGCAATAAAATTATTTTGATCTAGTGAAATGGCTTTATCATAGTAGATAATGGCTTCTTCATATTATTTCAATTCGTGTAAAGTATTACCTAAAATTCATATATGGACAAACCTTTGTTATTATAGGCATCAACATTATTTGGATCGAGGGAAATCGCTTTTTCATAGCAGACCATTGCTTATTTATATTATTTCAAATTCTTTAAAGAATTACCTAGAGCTCAATTATGGAGACAAAACCTTTGTTAAGATAGGCAATTATTTTATTTGGAGATAGTAAAATCATTTAATCATAGCAAATAATTGATTGGTCATAGAATTTTAAATCATCTAAAGAGATACCTTAAATGCTATTATAGAGATAAACCTTTGTTAAAATATGCATCAACATAATTTGGATTTATAGAAATCGCCTTATTATAGCAATTAATTGCTTCTTCATATTATTTCAATATTTTTAAAGAGATACCTATAATTCAAATATGGAAATAAAACCTTTGTTATTATATGCAATAAAATTATTTGAATCTAGTGAAATCGCTTTATCATAGAATATAATTGCCTATTCATATTTTTTCAACTTGCGTAAAGAATTGCCTAAAATTCAATGATGCATATGAAACCTTTTTAATTATAAGCATCAACATTATTTGGATCTAGGGAAATCACTTTCTCATAGCAAGATATGGCTTGTTCATGTTATTTCAAATAGTCTAAAGTATTACCTTAAGAAAATTATGCAGATAAAACCTTTTTCAAAAAAGGCATCAATATTATTTGAATCTAGTGTAATTGATTAATCATAAAAATCTAATGCCTCATCATATTTTTTTTAATTTTTTAAGCCAAACCCTTTAATGATTAATATTATAAATACCTTTTATATAATAAAAATATCCTTTTTTAGGGAATTATATTATACATTATTCAGCAATTGAAATAGCTTATTCATATTATTTTATTTCCATTAATGATATAACTATTAATTATTTAAATTTATACTTTTCATCCATAAAGCATAAACATTATTTTAATCTAAACTTAAAATAGTATCACAAGATATCATAAAGTCTATATTTTTTTGATTTTTAATGATGGCATTTCTTTTCTTGAATTTTATTAAAGCATAATCTTTAATTATAATTCATCGATACTTTATAGTATCAAGCTAGAAATATCGCTCTTCTTAATTCTTAACTTTTCCTCTACCTCTTTTAGAGTTTATTCTTAAAAGTTAGGATGTTCAATTTAGAATTTCTCTAACATTTCAAAAGGCTTACAATTATTCTCCAATTACATTAATATAACACCTTATTTTAATTTATTATACATTAATAAAACCATGCTAAATAATTGGATTTATCTTCTTTTAAAACTTTTTCCAATTTTACTAAAGCACATTGGTATTATTTGTTAATTCAATTCCTTCTTTCAACCCTAATTATTAAGAATATAAATACAGAGATTAATAATTTCTTTCTCAATTTGAGATGATTTTAAGATTCTATTCCAATTCTTGATGCTGCCAATTTATTCACAAAATTCTTTGAATTTATATTTTTTCAAATTTTTGATCATCTCTGAAAACTTTTGTTATTCTTTATAAATTTATTTGACTGAGTTTTAATACTGCTGTTTGACTTATTGAAACTTCTAATCAATCTATACTATCATTTTCTTATGTTCATAAATAATAAAATCTAGGAGTATGTCAATTTTATCAAATCGCTTGCAATCATTTCTACATTTTTCATGTTTTTAAGGATTGATTAAACATTCAACACAAAATTGTGATTTAGGTTCCTTGCAACCAGCAGAAAGACAAAAACCTACGATTGGACTTCCTTCATGTTCTACATTTTGACAAAAAAACATTTATATCTTTTTAATATCAATTATAATAAATCTTCTTCATAATATATAACATTAAAATTAGTGACATAATTTGGTATTAAAAAATTTAGTATAAATCTAGTGATTATTTCAATTTAAATATATTATTCGAAATAAATTTTATTAAAATGACTTTAAAATCATAATTTGAATACTCATCTAAATATGAATTATTTTCCCAATAAAAAATTCAGTAGATTTATTCATAAGATTACTTGAAGACTTTTCATCATTCTATTTGTAATTAAATCTTATTTATAATCTGATGCACTAATCAAAGTGTCTCTTGTTTGATTCTTCAAAATAATTTTTAATTTAGATGATATTGCATTTTTATATAGTGGGATATATATATATATATTATTAAATGTTGGGCATTAAGAAATTACTAGATTTTATTATTATTTATCTTGATTTAAATTAGAATATCAGATTTTGACTTCATATTTAATATATACTTTTTTCTTTCTCATAAATACTTTTATTATTGATGGAATGCATACTTATGCAATACCCCCTTAATGATTGCTCTATCATAATTTAAATACATAATAACATCCTGACCTATTCTCAATTTTCTTTCCTCGAATCTCCTATAAATAATAAATATTAAGAATTTTTTGTTTTATAAACTGCGAAGAACTGCCTTTGAGATAGCTCAAATTCCATAAAGTAGTTCTTATAATCAGTAGCTTATGTTTTAAGAAAGCTATTTTAATTATTTATTATAGATACAACGTTGCCAGTTTAGTACCACGCTAAGGATTTAGAATATCAAAAATAATCAATATAAATTTTTAAATTTATTAATCTCTCTTTTAAAAAGAAAAGTTGTATGCATTTAAAGAAATATTGCTCTGATTTTTAAGGTAATAATTACAGAATTTTATATCCCAAAGAAAAAGAATATAATTTTGATACTATATTATTAAATACTTTCAATATTATTATATAGCCACAGATGTAAAAGTTAAATATGCAGTTGACTAATCTTTTTTTATTGTTTCTTGTGATTGATATTTTTTTAATGAACCAAATGAAAACCTAAACCAGTATGAATGCATCACTAGAAAAGTTATAAAGAATAGATAATACTTAATTTTTGGTTCGATTATTTTGATCAAGAGTTTATTGAAATTTAATAAAACCCTAATTAAAATATTTATTAATAAAAATATTAGTGTAAATGAGAATTCTAAATTACAATGATATCCAGTACTTCTATTTAATAATCAAGTTTAATCTTATGTATTAGAAACTAAAAAGGAATGATTTTAAATATTAAAAAAAAAATCCTAAAGAACAAAAGACTAATAGAATTATAATCCTCACAACTATTAATGTTCCAATTAGAATTCAAAAATACAAAAACTTTACTATTTTATTCAAAAGTTTGAAAAAAAATAATTAATCAAAAACTGAGTATGAAAAGTATAAAAAATTAACTGTATGAGTCAAATTTATTGTGGAAAATATTAGGAATTTTTATTTTTGGAAGAAAGAATAATTGTGGATAATTTGAAACTGATAACTTAAGTTTATGAAAAACTCAATCATTAAAAATATCAATAGATCAATAGTCTAATAAATTACAAAATATGATGCTAAACTACTTCAGGCAAAAAAAAGTTTATACTAATTATATTTATCTTGAATTTCTGTAATAAGACCATCAATACTAGAAAAATAAAACAAATATTAAATAAAAGCTCTATTCAATCTCAATAATATAATATAATTACATAATTTATGATTATTAAAGGTAATTCAAATGATCTAATCAATATTATGATTTTAGAGTTTAAAGATCATTATCATAATAAAATAATATTAAAATCTATTTTATTTATTACTATTTTTGTATAAGACAATACTTAATCAATCCATAACTTATTTTTTTATCAAATTTATATTATCTGATGTAAGAATTATTATATTTATTCTTTAATTTGTTATATTTTATTAAAAAAATGTTAAAAAATAATAATATTTTAAAATTAATTGCTTTTAGTCAGTAAATATAATTACACAATTTAGAATTTAAATTGTATTTATTTCGATAGTTTAGACTGTTCTACTAAAAGCACAGTAAAGTCTATATAAATTGTTTATAATCAAGATAAATTAATTCGATTTGAGAACAATCTAGATTTATTATATGAGAAAATTTTTTTTTAATTTTTATTAATATTTAGGCAATCTTAAAGATAGTAGACTGAATTATGATGTAATCAAATATCATAATACTCAAAGAAGTCATAATCAATATGATACTAGTTAAAGGATAACAAATAATTTAAATTTTGGAGAGAGTCTGGAAATATAAAGAAGTATATATATTTACTGTATAGAAGCCTAATACTGATTAATTTGAATTAGGAAAGATAGAAATCTGAGGAGTTATCTTATTAATTTATTAAAATGTCAGTATAAAAAGGGAAGTGAACTGATAAACGAAAAATGATATTTTCGCCAAAAATATTTCTTATAGCTAATAAAAGTCGCAACAGAATTTTAAATGAAAAGAGATACCAATTCTATGAGGCTTAAGTTAAAGTAATGTAAATTAAAAAAATTTTTGTTATAAATTAAGATGTACAAATATTCGCATATATCAAAAAAATTTGTAATTCAGGAATTATTAATAAGATCATAGATTTAAAAATTTTATCATCATTTTTAGATTTTGATGGACCAAGTAAAATGCATAGTTTATCATGTTAATTGAATAGTAGAGTAAGTATTTTAAAAAATTTAAATACTGTATGATATTCTAAACTAGTACTCAACAATAAATGAATTATAAATCATTTGAATGATAATATTTGTTAAATAATTCTTAGTCCTTCTTAATTAAAAAATCATTATTTATTATTTTCATTCAAAGATGAAATTACTTAAGTCTTAAAGTACTAACTAAAAAAGATAATATTCTTTAAAAAATCTACACTAAAGAATTTATTGTTAATTATGTGTATTGGCTGTTCCTTTAAAAATAATCCCATACATATAATCCAAATTTACTTCACATATTCTTAAATCTTAAATTTTTTAGAATTACTTTAACGTAAATTTATTTATCTAGAGATTAAAATTTATCAAATAAATACTAAAATAATAAATTATAAAGATAATTTAACTTTAAATATAATTTTTATGATATTTTATATGCTGAAATCATCTATATGAAAATTATTGGTTGCTATCTAAATTATGATATTACTTTATTACAATAATGTCCAAAAATCTTCAAATTTTGAATTAATTATTGCTCTTTACATAATTAAAGAACCTTGTGATAATAAATATTAATTGTTTCTATAACTAGAATTTTAGTATTTTAGTATTATTGGCTACTAAAAATTTGAGATAATAAATACCACCTTATGAAAGAAGATTTAATAGGTTTATTAAATTACGCTAAAATACCTTTATAATTTCTATCAGAAGAAAAAGATGTTGAGTAGAATATCTGCTTTGATCCCCCATTGCCTTTGCATAGGAATTTCTGAGGCATAATTGGTCTAGTTGAGATGATGATTTTATTTGAAAGAAAAATTGGTGAAAGAGGTTTTTTTTGAGTAATTTTGGATGTATTTTGGAATGAAGGAGGTTACATTCTTATATTTAACCTTTAATAGTTCTTGCATTCGTTAAAAAATTATTAAAATTTCTAACGTTCCATTACGATGCTGTAATTTATTCTGGTTTCTTGCATTTGATTACAAAACAATAAAAGAAAGATAATATCATATAATTGAATTTTAATAATGCTAATTTTATTGTAAAAATCATTTTTATTTTAAATCATATTGAATTCCTAAAATGTAACTACCTTTTTGTTTAAAAAGTGTCTTTAAATCAATTCCAAATTAGTTTATAAATTCCCCTTTCGAAATTAAAGCACTTTTTGCTTAAAATACTGCTTATTATGATATTAATAAAATAGTATAATTGGTAATGGCTAAGATATAATAAGCAATTAATACATAAAAAGGGGTTTTCTTAGAATAATGGGGTATTAAATTTTAATAGAAGATCTTTGATATTTTTTTCAGAGAATTGAACTTATTATTCTGTCCGAACATCCCATAAACGTATAGAGTTATCATAAGAACCAGATGCTAAAGTAGTACCATCAGAAGAGAAGCAAACTGAATAGACAAAACTACTATGACCATCTAATTTGGCCTTTTACAATCCTGTCTTCACATCCCATAAACGGATAGAATTATCAAAACTACCAGATGCTAATGTAGTTCCATCAGGAGAGAAACATACTGATTAGACAGATCCACTATGACCATCCAATTTGCATATTTGATATCCTGTCTTAACATCCCTTAAACGGATAGATTAATCATCACAACCATATGCTAATGTAGTACTATCAGGAGAGAAGCACAAAGATAGAACGAATCTACGATAACCTTCCAATTTTGCCTTTTATTATCCTGTCTTAAAATCCCATAAACGTATAGATTTATCCTTACTACCAGATGCTAATGTAGTTCCATCAGGAGAGAAACACACTGATTAAACAGAATTACTATGGCCAGTTAATTTGGCCTTTTATTATCCTGTCTTAGCATCCCATAGACGGATAGAATTATCATGACTACCAGATGCTAATGTAGTTCCATCAGGAGAGAAACACACTGATTAAACAGAATTACTATGGCCATTTAATTTGGCCTTTTATTATCCTGTCTTAGCATCCCATAAACGGATAGAAGTATCATCACTACTAGATGCTAATGTAGCGCCATCATGAGAGAAGCATAATGAAAAGATTATACCACTATGACCATCTAATTTCATCTATTATTATCCTGTCTTAACACCCCATAAACGGATACATTAATCATGACCCCCAGATGCTAATGTAGTACCATCTGGAGAAAAGCATACTGATAGAACATGATTAGTGGGACCATCCTAATTGACCTATTATTATTCAGTTTTAACATCCCATAAACGAATAAATTTATCATAACTACCAGATGCTAATATAGTACCATCAGGAGAGAAGCATACTGACCATACATTTTCACTATGGCCATCCAACTTGGCCTTTTATTGTCCTGTCTTAACATTCCATAAACGAATAGAATAATCTCCACTACCAGATGCTAATGTAGTACCATCAGGAGAGAAACTTACTTAATTCACATAAGTACTATGGCCAACCAACATGGCCTTTTATTAACTTGTCTTAACATCCCATAAACGAATAGAATTATCTCTACTACCAGATGCTAAAGTAGTTCCATCAGGAGAGAAGCATAATGATAGTACATGACCAGTATGACCATTCACCTTGGCCTTTTATTATCCTGTCTTAACATTCCATAAACGAATGGATGAATCTCCACACCCAGATGCTAATGTAGTACCATCAGGAGAGAAACATACTGACCATACATTTTCACTATGACCATTCAACTTGGCCTTTTATGATCTTGTCTTCACATTCCATAAATAAACAGAAGAATCTCCACAGCCAGATGCTAATGTAGTACCATCAGGAGAGAAACATACTGAGTAGACAGGTCCGCTAAGGTTATCTAAATTTGCTTTTATTTTTCTTGTCTGGACATCCCATAAACGAATAGAATTATCTCTACTACCAGATGCTAAGGTAGTTCCATCAGGAGAGTAGCATACTGAATCTACGCTAAGAGTATGACCATTCAATTTAGCTTTTTATTATCCTGTCATTACATCCCATAAACGGATAGATTTATCAAAACTACCAGATGCTAATGTTTTTCCATCAGGAGAGAAACATACTGATTATATACTATGAGTATGACCATCTAATTTATTAAGCTCATGTATTTTTAAGTTGATCCATTTACAATTTAACAGCAATGCTCCATTCAAATTTATTCCACTTATGTTAACATTATCAAATTATGATCCACTTAAGTTGCATCTTACAAAATTAGCTCCCACTAAAGAAGTATTCTAAATCCTGATTTTTTCAAAATTTGAATTTTTTAAGTCCACCTTTAGCAAGTTTAATAAATTTAATGAGTTTGATCCACATTAAATTAAATTATCATCTTAGGCTGTAAGGTGAACTAAGAATTTCAGAAACCCAATTATCTCCTTTTAATATTTTATTCTTTTTATTAGATTCTATCTCGGTTCAAAATATACTACACCAGAATAATCTTATTTATTAAAGTCGTGATCTTTAATTTTTTGAATGACATTTATAATCTGTCTTATGTTCTTTCTTACAGTTCCTTATCTCTATTATCTTTCTTTTTTTGTTGAATTTTTTCCTTGTTAAATGTTCTCTTCTAATTGTCTTTGATTTTCATCATCTGAAATAAATCTCATCCAGTCTTAAATATTTTCTTTTATCAACATTTCATTTATCTAACAGTATAATTTTTCATCCACTTCCTTTACCTGATTGAAAATCCCTTCTAGATCTTCGTTTTTTTCTCTGGGGTCTTTCATTATCTTTCTTAAAAAAATTAATGAATTTTTATTACATAAGTTTAGGTTTTTTATGATAAATTGAAACCTTTTTTATTTATTTGAGAATCTAAATTAGTAAAGATGTTGATTGCTAATAATTGATCATTAATCGTCTATTGAGTTATCAATAAAACATTTGCAATATTTAATTCATTAAGAATATAGAATAAATTTTTTACTGTGAAAACAATAATAATTGAAATAATATATAAATTGCTTAATTTGAGTTAAAATAATATTTATTGATGATCCAATTTTTATCATTTATTTTTCTGTTGATCCTAGTCATATGCATATGCTCCTGGAAATTTTAATAGTAAACTAATAGATTTCAAAAAATCTGCTTCAATCCTTACTATTTACAATAATATAGAATTGGTTTAAAGTTAGGTATATTAGTTATTATTAAGAAAGATAAAGGAACTTGGTAGAAACTTCTAGTTTTAGAGTAAAGTTGTAGATTATGTTATCAGTGTCTAATACGATTTCCCTTAATTCCTCTTAAAATTTAGGATGAAGCCTGAGGCGGTAATAATAACTTTCAGAAAGACTTGTTTTGGTAAAATAAATTGATAAAGAAATATCAAAGATGGAATATAAAAAAAATCAAGGGATGACATTGTGAAAATTGCAATGGATTTTTTTGAATATTGTTTCCATTAGGAAGATAAGACTTTCAGTGTTAATACCTCTTTTAAAACATAATCTTTACTCAATTAGAAGATTCATAGTCATAAATTTCATCCAAAATTCAAATAAATATTTACTTCTGGGTAAAATAACAATTCAAACAATCGGAAAAAATAAACTAGTAGAATTCACTTCTGATTTATGACTTCCACGATTTATTTATCGACTCCTGTTAACTTAGATATTATCCATTTCATTTACGAATTTATCCTTCAGATCTGTGTTACCTATTTAGATCTAATTATACTTCTAAAATTTTTATCAAAAGATTATCTCTATACAACTTCTAAAAATAATTAAAATAAGTAGGATAATATCATTTATTTTTGTGCTTTTAATATTGAGCAATTTTCTTCGAACTTACAGTTTGAGCAATTTAATCTCTATATAAACCACTTGATCAGAAATACCATTCGTTTTTTGTGTCTACTCTATTAATTTCTGGAGTAATTATTGATAAAAACCAAAGCTTAACTTAAGTTAATATTAACTATTAATTTAAAGTGTTTAATAACTCATCTACTCAATTAATCTAGAAAATTAAAATTTTTCTGCTAGATCTATTGACTTTTATTTCTGAGTTTTGTTTATTTAAGCTTCTTTATCAGTGTAGTTTATATTCTGATCATAACCTTTGCTTCTTCTGTCTTCATCATTGTCATTCAAATATTGTCAGATATTAAAACAAGTGAATGGATTTCTTATTAAAATTTCCATTAATTGTTATTATTATTCAATTTCCAACTTAGGATACATTTAGACTCAGAACCAGTAATAAAGCTATTAAATTTTTGCTATAAATTAAACAGACAAATAATTAGAGTAAATCAAGAAAGAGTATGAGATGAAGTTTGTAATGGAAGAGAATAAATAATGCACAATATTGATGTATATATATTAATAATTTAATGAATTGAAATGGGCAAAGGAGAGTGTATCAATAACTATATTATATTCAAGGTACTGTTAAACCTTGATACTCTTTATTGTTAAAAAAAACAAATCATGATTACAAAGCTTATTCATATTGGCTTCATATTTTCAAATAATATTGGATTATTATTTTAGGCCATATCATGGGAAAACTATATTTAACACCTCTTTTAAATTATTTAAAGAGGAATATTTTGATAAATGCAAAAAGCTGATTTTGAATAAAATTTTATAATTTATTTAGGAAACAAGATAGAATGGAATATTATTGAATAAAAAATAAATCAACCCATCTAAATATTTTCTATCATGGGTTCTAAATAAGTTGAATTGAATGATATGCGAGCATATGAAAAAAATGATTGTATTTGAAAAATTAAATTAAATGAAAAGGATGCATTCATATTTTATGAAGATTAATTTTAATCTCTTTTTTTTATTAGAAGTAAAGTTTTTTTCTATCCTTAAACTTAAAAAATTATAAGAATAAAATAGATGATAAATTAAACTTGGAGTGTATAAATTGGGCAAATTCCATTTTCAAATTAGAAATTGATATTTGTTTGGAATGCTATCCAAATAATTATTAAGCATTAATTCAACAATTAAAAATGATACTATTCAGTAATCAAGCAGATAGATTAATTAATTCCCCTACAGGACTAACCTATATGTTACAATATGACTAGACCAATGAATTAAAACTATTATTCAAATTTAAGGAATGAATGATTCATATACCAAACCATTTTGAATAAAAAGGATAGCTTTTAATAATTCCGTTGATCATTAATAATAAATAGATTAAAAAAGTATTTTTTTTAATTAAATTTTAGATGAAGCTGATCTCTATTTCACTAATATACTAAAATTAAAGTAAAAAACTTAAGATATTTTTTAAAATTAATTGGAAAAAGACCAGAGGTCAAAAATTTCTAAAGTAAATTATTTATGTATTTCACAAATAAGCATGAAAAATCTCCAAATTAGTTAGCCATAAATATTGATATCATCATAAGAAGAGAGAAAGAAAGAAATGAAATAGAAGCTGATAAAATGTTGACTTAAATTGCTTCTCTCTTTCAATTACTTTATCTAATAGATATTTTCTTCCAACATTATTAAAAACTATTACCCAAAAGCTTTGCTCAATTTTTAGTTATAATATCAATAACTAGAGAAGTACCTTTTTAAATAATTCAAATTGGAAACTGATACAAATGTTAAAAAGAAAGATACATCTTGAATGTGAATACAATTTAAATGATTGCTTTACTTTAATTCAATAAAGCAGATTCATTCTCAATCAAAGAAATCTTGGATTTGACTAACATTTATCCCTATTGTTTGTATAAAGATAATAACAAGGGAAAAATAGGACATTGAAGATTTTTAGATGAAAATGAAGTTCTAAAATTAAACAAACATAGGTTTCACAAAAAGGGCCAAAAAATTAAGTTGTTTTCTAATCACAATATAGAAAGAGCTGTAAAGCCAATAATTGAAATTTCTAGCATGATGAAAGTGAGGAGAATTAGCAATTAAAATAGCAAAGAGATTAGTTGTTAAACTAGAAAAGAGAATTAGTTGTGGATTCTTAATTGATTTCATTGATGAAAAAAAAAGCAATTGATTATTATGTATTACTTAAAAATTGCTAATCTATAATCTCTATCTTAGACTAGATTAATAATGTATGAAAGAATATAAAATTTGATTTAGAGATATAAAATTGCAAGAGATGAACAAAATTTGTATTCATTAATTATATTAATTTAGGAATGTTTATCATTATCAGAATTGACATTAGAAAATTTAAGTATTAATTAAAATACAATATATTTAAATATTACATCTGAAATACAAGAAAAATGGTTTTCCAGAAGATTTTGTTAACATTAGAAAATGTGTGATTCAATTATTAAGAATCTCTTTCATTTTAGATCTAAATCTTAAGGAGTATTTGTTCAACTCTTACTTCTTTACTTAATAAATANTAAAGTAAAAAACTTAAGATATTTTTTAAAATTAATTGGAAAAAGACCAGAGGTCAAAAATTTCTAAAGTAAATTATTTATGTATTTCACAAATAAGCATGAAAAATCTCCAAATTAGTTAGCCATAAATATTGATATCATCATAAGAAGAGAGAAAGAAAGAAATGAAATAGAAGCTGATAAAATGTTGACTTAAATTGCTTCTCTCTTTCAATTACTTTATCTAATAGATATTTTCTTCCAACATTATTAAAAACTATTACCCAAAAGCTTTGCTCAATTTTTAGTTATAATATCAATAACTAGAGAAGTACCTTTTTAAATAATTCAAATTGGAAACTGATACAAATGTTAAAAAGAAAGATACATCTTGAATGTGAATACAATTTAAATGATTGCTTTACTTTAATTCAATAAAGCAGATTCATTCTCAATCAAAGAAATCTTGGATTTGACTAACATTTATCCCTATTGTTTGTATAAAGATAATAACAAGGGAAAAATAGGACATTGAAGATTTTTAGATGAAAATGAAGTTCTAAAATTAAACAAACATAGGTTTCACAAAAAGGGCCAAAAAATTAAGTTGTTTTCTAATCACAATATAGAAAGAGCTGTAAAGCCAATAATTGAAATTTCTAGCATGATGAAAGTGAGGAGAATTAGCAATTAAAATAGCAAAGAGATTAGTTGTTAAACTAGAAAAGAGAATTAGTTGTGGATTCTTAATTGATTTCATTGATGAAAAAAAAAGCAATTGATTATTATGTATTACTTAAAAATTGCTAATCTATAATCTCTATCTTAGACTAGATTAATAATGTATGAAAGAATATAAAATTTGATTTAGAGATATAAAATTGCAAGAGATGAACAAAATTTGTATTCATTAATTATATTAATTTAGGAATGTTTATCATTATCAGAATTGACATTAGAAAATTTAAGTATTAATTAAAATACAATATATTTAAATATTACATCTGAAATACAAGAAAAATGGTTTTCCAGAAGATTTTGTTAACATTAGAAAATGTGTGATTCAATTATTAAGAATCTCTTTCATTTTAGATCTAAATCTTAAGGAGTATTTGTTCAACTCTTACTTCTTTACTTAATAAATATTGTTAATAATATTGTAGTATATTATTAATATTTTAAGTAAAATACATTTCAAACAGGATAAAATAATGAAAACCCTTATTGAAGTGAAACCTTCATTAATAAGTAGTAACAATGAATTAATTTTCACCATTTTATGGATGTTGCATCACACTGATACGAATGTAAATATTTGAACAATTGTTATTTGTTTTCTATATTTCTTGGGTAAATCCTTATTAGCTTTTAATAAAAATTTGGTGTCTAAACATAAAGTTTAAGATCTAATATGATAATAGCCTTCGCAATCTCAAGTGCATTCAATATATTCATTGTTTTGGAGCCAATCGTAAATTTAGATTGCGACAAACCAAAAAAATCGATGTTTTGATTATTCATATCATCAATTCTAAGTTATTTCTCTTTTAGAAGTTAGAGATTTTTATATATTAACCCTACTATTTAATCCTCAATCAGTTTTAATAGTAAACATAGGAAAAACATAAAAATAGTATTAAATGATAAGACAAGTTTTATTAAATCCATTGAAAATTTTAATAGTTAGTTAGCTTAATACTATAATTTATTAATTTTATTATTTTAGTATCAAATATAAGTCTACAAAAAGATTTAAGTTATTTAATAAAAGATGACGATGTGATTTAATTGCGATTAATATAAAAGGATTGAAAAATTTCTTTCACTTTAAACAAAATTTAGTATTTTTCAAAAATATTATGAGAGGAGATATGAATAGTTTGCTCTTTTAACTTATTTAATTATATCAAGTTTATAAATTTTTAGAGATATTTGAAATTAGTATTAAATACTAATTAAATGAGTTAAGTAAACCATATATTGATATCCATAATCCTCTTGAATTATTCATATTATTTATAAAAAATTGACATATTACACTTTTAGATTGGCATTTCCTGTGGATGCATTTAATTTCGTAGCTTAGAGACACATAAATTATTAATGAAATTACACTTTATATTTTTGTAAAAGTTTCAAATACTATTTAGGTTGAATAGTATTAACAACTATAATTGCTACAAACCACTTATTTGCATAATATGCATATTTAATCTATGATCGCTTTAAATAGTGAACAATCACTCTTTTGTTTATGCACCCATAATAACAATAAACACAATTTTCCATAAATTGATGACATACAAATTCAGAATCATATTTATCTAGACTTAAATCAGAAAATTTTAAATCTGAACACTTATTTTATTTCAGATCACATTTATTGTAATACCTCTATATTAGTAATTAAAGGCTGAGTTATTCTTGAATGTAGAAATTAGAATAAATTAAACAAATAGACAGAATAATCTGTAAAATTGAGGAACTTAAAATTATACTTTACATAAACTTTTAATTTGGAACAATTTTATTCTGGATTTAATAGTAAAGTAATTTTTTAGTTGTCAACTGATTTTGTGATATCGTATTTATTTATGGCATAATATAAAATATTATTTAAATATAAGTTTAAATGCTTTCAATAATAATCAATAATCATTTAATCCATTCCTGTAAAATTAGTTCTCTACATGAATATTAATATAAAATTAAGGAGATTTTTAATCCTTATATTTATTTGGAATGTAGAGAAATTGAGGTTAGCGTAGACCTAGCTTTATATTTTCAGTTTGAGGCTTACTATCACCAATACATTTTAAGAAACTATCTTTCAAAATATGAATCTGATCTTTTTCTCCATTTATTTAATTAGATTGTTAAGATTATTTTATTTGTTATATTAATCAAATGTTCTTTTAATAAGGGCTCTCCTAGAAATGAAATTTCCAAATATTAAGTGTTGAGAAAAACCATCTTTTCCATTAATTTTCTTTTGAAAATTATATTTAATAATAATAACTTAAATTGTCATCAATTTTTCTATAGACAAATCCTTATAAAATTTAGAAATTATTTAGAGTTTATAATAATGATAATCAAATATTTCAGTACCTGAAATAGTTAGAAATTCAAATTTTCATTAGTTTTATGATAATTCAAAAGGGATTTGAATTAACAAACCTTTTAATTTTATTGAATTTATAATTAAGAAATTTTAAATATTTGAGTGAAAATAGATAAAAATTTGTATTTTGCACCTGAACTTTTTTCTAATAAATACTAATCTTTTAATGGTTTGTCTTGTGTTCAAACGGTGGCTTCGCTAGAAAAGTACTCAACATCATCATTTAAAACTTTCAATACAAGAGAAATAAAAGTTTATGAATTTGAAGTACAAAAATATTTAAAATTTAATAATATATATACGTGATGATATACAACTTTATTGAATACTATAATTTATATTATCCATCCTTTTACATTAAAAATTGCGAAGTTAGTATGAATAGATAATAAATAATACGTAAATTGTTACCTTTCTAAAAGATAGTGAATTTTTCTAAAAAGATTAGACATAAGTTAGAATTTTGATTGAAATTTGCTTTATATATGACACTTGCTGAAATCTTTTCTTTATCAAATGTTTATAAATTTTAAATTTAATGCTACATCTTAATTACTGACTATCTAATAAGATTTATTTTAGATTTGAGCAATTATTACTAATATTAGAAATAATTTAAACTATTTGTTGATTTAAATCTTCATTTGTAAAAAATTGCTCATACTTAAAGTAATGATTTACATTTCAAGTGTGCTTAATCACCTTTATATATATATTTTATTATAAATAAAACTTTTTATTTATAATTATGAGTTCATAAAATTTAGTTTAGAATTAAAAAATACTAAATTCTTAAACTAAAAGAGCTAATTCAAACTTTAACTTAGTTCATTAATTTGCTATTCAACTCGAATACAATATTCATGATATGTTAAAATAAGAAGATTGTTGAAATAAATTCATAGTTTAGTAGAATGAAAGCGACCCAATTTATCACTTGAAAAATAGTTAGAAAATATATATAAAAATTTTAAATTCATTATTCTGAGAGAATTTAAAGATGATAAATTGAGAGTTTAATTAAATTTTTTGAATAAATATAAATTTATTTATCTCTGTTCTTTATATTAAATTCTTAGAATTCTCAAACAATGTAATTTAGAATTCTTAAATGATAAACTGATAAATTTATACTTAAGTTGCCTGCTATTGACTTTTTCATTTCTAATTCGAATATACATCTACTTACAACAAGAATTAATAAACTATTCAATTCCAATTCAAAAGTTATTAGTTAAACTTAGAAGTATTTTAATTAAATTTACATAGGAATTAAAATGGTTTTAAAAATGTTCTATTATTTTATGTTCATCCAACTATTTGTAATAAGGAATTCAGAGATTTCAAAACAATGTGTTTGTGGGCATGTTAGAAGTTAAAATGAATGTAAAAGCTCTGGTTTTTGTATTTGGAATAATGATTTGTGTATTTTAAATTCCAGTTAATCATACAATAAAGAGATAAATAATTAGAATCCATGCAAGAATTACTCATAAGAGGATTGTCGAGAATAAGAGTAGTGTGGCTTTTATTTTGGTCAATGTATTGACTTCATAGATTGCAACATATTTGATAAAGATAATTGTTAAGAATCGTCATATAAATGTGTATCTGATGGTTCAAAGTGTGTTTAGATGTTAGAATGTAGTGATTATAAAACAGAGAATGGATGTGCGAATAAAAATTAGAATGGTAATTATTGCTTTTGGCTTGTGGGTACAGAGAAAAAATGTACAAATGTAAATTTATGTGAGTAGTTACCAATATATTTAAAAAGTCATAGCATGTGCAACGAGGGTCTTAATGGGTGTACAATAAGCGAATAAGGTTACGGATGTATCGAATAAATGGAGTCATGTTCATAATATGTTAATTATTTTTAATGTTTTGAAAGTAAATAAAGAAAAGATAATTGTTTTTGGGATACAAAAAATGCAAAATGTGTTGAAAAGGTGTGCGAAAATCTACCATTTACTTAGGATTATGAATGTAAGTCATATTTAAGTGATTGTACAACTAATGGAATTCATTGTGTAAGAAGGAAATAATGTAGTGATGCTTAGAATAAATTAGGTTGTATATCAGATGCATAGGGTAATAAATGTGAATATCATGAAAATTAATGTAAAAACAAGAGTTGCGATACTGCTCCAAATTCACTATCGAATTATCAATAATGCTAGGATTATGATAATCTTTTAGATTGTGTTACTTCAGAAATAAAGGGATGTAAAAATAGGCCTGTAACATGTAATGGTTATGCTTTTGAAATTGATTGTTATTCAATATAAAAATAAGATTGTGTTTGGTATGAAAATAAGTGTGAATAAAGATAATGTTATCATGCTCCAATTTATTATAGTCATATAGACTGTCATCAATATGGAAATTGTATAGGAAAATTAAATGGAGGATGTTAAATTACACCTTAATCATGCGAAGATATATTGTAAGAATAGTTTTGTGAATTAAATTATAATAAAGAAAAGTGTATTTGGCTTGGAGGTAAGTGCGTCTTGTTAGAATGTAATAAGTTAAAATTACCATATTATAAAAATCATAAAATATGCTAATAGGCAAGTTAATTTTGCACCTTTAATTTAGATTCTATTGGTTGTACAGATTATTTATGTGAAAATGTCTCAGAAATAGAATATTGTAAAATTGATTCAAGTGGTACTGTTTGCACATTGAATTAAGGATGTATATAGAAATAATGTAAAACTGCTCCTCCATCTTATGATACCAATTAGAAATGTGAAGGTTGGATGCCAAAATGCACAGTTAATGTATAATTTGTATAGAATTAAAAAATCTTAATTGGGTGTGTAGATAAAAAGATTAGTTGTCAATTAGCTATTCAAGATCAATGTTATACAACGATTTCAGGATTTAAATGTAAATGGGATGGAAGTAGTTAAAGCTGTATTGATCAAGAATGCACAGATGCTGATCCTAAAGTTTATTTAACAAATGATGATTGTCAATAATTTTAAGTGTTTATCGGTCCTTGCATTATAGGATCATCTGGAATTGGATGTACAAAATGGCCAACTAATTGTAATCAAATGATAAATCAATAACAATGTAAATTGAATCTTAAAGATGGAACAAAGTGTTTTTGGACTGGTACTTATTGTAAAAAATAATAATGTTCTGATGCTCCTCCAATTAATTACACTAATAATATTGAATGCAACACATGGTTTAATAATTGTATTTTTAATCATTCTCAAGGTGGATGCAAAGATAGACCAATTTCATTGGCTTGTACGTCTTCTCCAAATAATAATATGTATGATACTCATTAGGAATGTTTTGCATGGAATCCTAAATGCACAGTTACTTCCTCATATAGTGTTGAAGGATGTGAACAAAAAAAAGATAGTTGTTATGAATTTATTAGGCAAAGGAATTGTAAAACAACTCTAAATGGTTAAATTTGTTATTGGGATGATAAATTATAAATGTGTATGAATGAAGATGAAAATAACAATGGAGTTGCTGATTGTGATAAGAGACTTTATGGAGATCTAACTCACCAAGATTGTGAAGAATTCATGCCTAAATGCACATTAAATAATATTGTTAGATCCTGTTAATATCTTTCATACTATTGCGATTATCAATATAAATAATAATGCTAAATTACTAGATATTAGTAACCCTGTAAATGGGATGATCTTAATTAAAGATGTAAAAATGTAGTTTGTACTGACAATACTACTGCTTAAACTGAGGTTGAATGTTTAAAGTTCAAATAATAAAACGAATGTCAATTGAAAATTAAGTCTAATGGGACTTATGGAATTGGTTGTGAGAATAGACCTACTACTTGTAACTCGATTACAGACCCTGTTATATGTAAATTAACTCTAACTACTAATTAGCATAGATGCTATTATTTTAATTCTATTTGTTAGGTTGTACAATCAAATTAATGTGAGGTAATTACTGAAAGTAAAAGTGATGAGTTCTGTCAATTATATAATACTTAATGTGTTCTATAATCAAGTGGGTAAGGATGTTATTCAATGGTTAATTGTTCAGATTTGTCCAATAAGATTTGCAATAGCGCTATAATGAGATATAATTAAAAATGTAGTTTTTAAGACATCTGTCGTTGGGATTATGATTGTTCCCAAAAATATCTTTCCTCTAGTCATTGTAATGATTAAAAAACATAGTTTGGATAATTATGTTAATATATATATTAATGTCCGTATTATTGTAACTACTATTGCCGTTTATAAACAACATAAAAGAATTTAACCTTTTCATCCTCAGCCACCCTTTTAGACAAATATAAATAATGTCAAGTCTATTCATCTTCATATAGGTATGATACAAATTGTAATTGTTGTGTAATATTGACTTCATGTAATTCGTAGATCGGTTCAGAACCTCTTTGTAATTTATCAATTGATCAATCTAGAAGATAATGTGGATATAATTAATAAACATAGACTTGTGAAGATAGAAAATGCGAACATTTGACCTCCAGTCAACCAATTTCAAGATAACTTTGCTTTGAATGGAAATATAATTGTGTTTATGATGCTACTGGCTGTAAGACCTTCTCAGGTGATTGTACAACTATTGGCTTTATTTAATAATGTTATTCCTTTTCATGTTAATGGTAAGATGGTAAGTGCGTAAACTATGTTAATTGTGAACTTAACACAACTGCAGTAACGAATCGAGAATGTTTATTAATAAATAGCAGTTGTTGCAGATTAAATTACAACAAAGGCTAAGGATGTGCTTTTACAAATTGTATTCAAATCACAAGCTCTACAATATGTAATTCAGCATAACTTGCTAATGGAGAAAGATGTAGATGGGATAATTATTATAGCAAGTGCTACAACAAATATTGTTAAGAGTATGCAATATAATCTGATTGCGAAAGCAGTTATGGTTATATTTCACCAATAGCCACAAAATGTTATTGGTGTTCTAATTACTCTACCAAATGTACTAATAATAGTTACTGTAATTCAAGTAGCATGACTTCATATAAATCACATTAAGATTGCAACAGTGTAAATGTCTTAACAACAATCTAATTTATAATAAGTGCAAAGTGCACAGTCAAATTATAAAGATGTTCAGATTACAAATATCAAGAGGCATGTAAAAAAACAATAGATGGTCTAGAATGTTATTGGTATTCTAATACTTGTTTAAATATTTGTGAAGCTGCATTTTATTTAATATCTTCCCATACAAACTCATCTTGTCATAGTTGGCATGCTTCTTGTATGTAACTGAATAGTTCAGAATGCCAAACTCTAGATTGCAATTTGTTAACAACGAGTGCTAACTGTGCTATTTTTACTGAAAAATGCTTTTGGGATGGTTCAAACTGTTAAAGCATTGGTGATTGTAGCAAATATTCTACAAATACCTTGTGCTTAAATACAAGTAATTCATAAGATATCCCTTGTTTTTGGAATGGTACTCTATGTTTAGAAAAAACATGTTCAAATAAGCCAACTCTTTCTTTAAATCAAAGTGAATGTGATAGTTGGTTGCTTAATTGTTAATGGAATGTCAATAATAATTAATGCGTTTAAGATTGTACCTAAGCAAATATTTCAAATAACACTCATTAACTATGCGAAGCCTATTATTTAAATAAAAGTTGCACCGTCAAACTAGATTTAATTCAATGCGTAGATCTTCCATTTTCTTGTCCTTTAGCAAAGAAAACCTAATGTTATATAGATCAATCTGGAAATGAATGCTACTTTTAGGTATCATCAGGTCAGTGTGTTAATTTATTATGTTCAAACTTGCCATCATCATATAAAAAACATGAAACATGTAATTAAAGATTAAAATCTTGCACAGTTAATACAACTTTGAATGGATGTTAATAATTAACTGATTGTAGTAATTATTCAATCCAAGATCAATGCTAAATTGATTCAAATAAAATAGAATGTGAGTGGATAATAAGTGAAAATAAATGTACAATTAAGGAATGTTCAACTGCACAATTACCTATTTATTCAGCACATAGTTGTCAATAATATTTTGGCGATTTGTGTACAGTAAATGCAAATTAGGATGGATGTGAGATAGGTTAAGCTTTGTGCATGAAATATACTTATAATTAATGCAAAAGTGATGGGTAAATGAATTTAAGTGGAGTAGATTGTTTCTGGAATGAAGAGAAAAGCATTTGTTTAGAAAGGATATGTGAAAATGGACCTCCACTTGCCTAATCTCATTCAGATTGTGTAGGATTTCTTTCTACATGTTAAAAGGGTGGTTGCCGTATAAAGGGATGTTTTGATTACAATTATGCTATAGACACAGCTTGTGCTTCAATATTTGAAGACAAGAGATGTGTAACCAATGGATATCAATGTGTTCTACGAAATAATTGTGAAGATGTTAAAATCATTGATGGTTGCACATTTGATATCAATTTAAATCCTTGTGTTTGGATTAATGAAAAATGTTAAATTAAAACTTGTGGAACTGCATCAGTATCTCTTAATAAATATTTGGAATGTAATGAATATTTTCCAAATTGCACAGTTAAATAAGGAGGTGGATGCACTAAGAAACAAACTTGTGAAAATTACTAAATAAAAGAAGCTTGCTTTACTGATAGTGAAAATGTAGAATGTATTTGGGATGATTATTTAAATTAATGCTTTTCTAATTAATGCATGGATTTTTGTGGGGATGGTGTTGTTTCCAGTAAAGAGGAAGAGTGTGATGATGGCAATTATTTACCCTACGATGGTTGTTATAAATGTCAAGTTTAATGTCCATAAGGATGCAATGTTTGTAATGGTAGAATATGTGAAGATTGTTAAAAGAATGGGTGGCTATTGATTAATGGTGTTTGTACTTCAAAATGTGGAGATGGTTATACAGTTGGGAGCGAATAATGTGATGATGGAAACTATATTGAATTTGATGGTTGTTATTAGTGTTCCTTTTCTTGTCACCAGAAGTGCCTTAATTGTTTTTAAGGATTATGTTTATAATGTGAGTTTGGATACTTAGAAGATGGATCATAATGTCATAATATTTGTGGGGATGGAAATCTTATTTAACAAATAGAATAATGTGACGATGGGAATTAGTAGAATAATGATGGATGCAGCAATACCTGTGAAGTGGAAAAAAATTGGAAATGTCATTAAGAAAATAATATTAGTTAATGTAAATATCTTATTCTTCCTATGATTACACTTACAAAACTCACAAAAACAAATTCAGATAATCAAGAATTCCAATTATCATTTTCAGAAAAAGTACGTTTGAATGTTAATGGCATTAGTGAAGAACAATTTCTTCAGATGATTGTTGTTGTATTGGAAAATGCAAATCATAATGAATACGATGTTGAAATCAAACCCATAATCTCTATCACTACTTAATTAACTGATGTAGCTTATAAGATATTAGTCTATTTCAAAAGTAAAATTTAAAATCCTTTACTAAAAGTAACAATCTTATGTGAAAATATTGTTAATATATAAGACAATTCTTTATATTCAAATGAAGTAAAGTTAGTATTAAAATCTCCTAACAAAATGTCAAATGATCAAAAATCCCTAATTCAGAAAACTGCCTTTCTAAGTAGAATTGTTATGTATATCATCTTGATTGTAAGTGGTATAGCTTTTTTGTTTGGTAATTTAGAAATTTTATGGAATCTCCTTGATATGCTTTAATAATTATCATATATGAAATTTCACAATCTATAATTCCCAGAAAACTTAAAAATCTATTTTGAAATTTTTAGTATTGGTTCTTTTACTCCCATAATTAATTTCTTTTAAACAGATATATATTTACAAAATTTATTTGATTACTAAATTCCAATCATACCAGCTAAATGGAAATTTGAAGAGTATGAGATTAATTGTTACTTTTTGAATAACTTTTAAACATTAATCATTCTAATTATAATTGGATTTGCTTATTTTTTAGTTTCATTTTTCTTTTATAAATTCCTAATTTTAATTAAATATTAAAATTGGCCGACTATTTTTTACAAAAGTAAATCATAAAGTCTATTTAAATTTGTCAGATTGATTTTCTCCTTTTAGAAGTTGGCAAGAAAATAATGTTCGTATTTTGTTTATTCTGGATTAATCAGAATTCTTACATCAAATTATTACGAATTAACATTTGCATCAATTTTATAAATTGCCAATTACAATATTGATACTACTTTAAATACAACTATTTTATTAATTGCACTAATTACATTACAATTCAATCTAATCCTCATAGTGTTATTTTTTTCTTATTTAAGCAAAAAAGATAAAGTAAGCAAGAAGCTATCAGTCTTAGTAGAAGGAATAAATAATCATTTTTCATAAGGATCTAAACAATATGTTACTATATTGTTGATAAAAAAAACTTTATTCTTGTTTAATTTAATTGTATTATAAGAACTTTTGGGTGCTCAGAGTCTTATTACAGCTTGTTTATCAGGAGTATTTTCTTGTTATATTTATATTTATAAACCTTTTGAGAACAATTATGAAAATTTGAAAATCTTCATCACCGAAATTATGATTATGCTTAATGTTATACTCTTTTCTGTTTATGATATTATCAAATTCAATTAAAATAAAGACTCAGCTGAAGTTTTAGGTTGGATTAATGTAGGTGGTTTCACATTGATCCTTATTTTCACCTTGTTAATTGATATATACTAATAATTATTAAAATATATAAGGTAGCTTAGAAAAAATTTTATCAATTAGAAGAAAAATATGAAATCAAAGAATTTTATATTTTTTGCAATTTGATTATCAATAAATAATTTATTCAAATTTAATATAAGATTATATGTTTTTACCAATATAATTGTTTTAAATAGATATATTGTTAATAATATAATTAATTTAATTTTAAGTTTTCTCAAAGAGAATTTCCATAAGAAAGTAGTACGAATTAATGATATCTAGAATTAAGATAAATATTCAAAATATAAAAATTCTATATATGCCAAAAATCATACTCCTTTCTCTTTGTATATATTTTATAGAAGGAAAAAAATTAAATTAAATTCACATGTTTTATGAAAATATTTAAATGTAAAGTTTTTTATTACTCAATGTAATAGAATATATCATAATAATATTGATATTATCAAATATTATGTTTTAAAAGCTTTATTTAATTAGAAATTAGATTTTTAATAAAGCCAATATTGAATCTATTTGAGAATTCAAAAAATTCTCACTTTATTAATATTGATTTTTGATAATATTATCAATTTCAAAGTAGCTTAAATTTCTAACACCTTTTTTTAATATTGAGTGATCATCTTTGTAATTTTATAATGAAATTTAGCCTCTAATAAATCAATATTGCGTACCTTTATTGTTACATGCATTGTTTTGATTTAATTTTTTGCCTTCACTATTATATTAACTGGGGAATGCTAAATTTATAAGATTAATTCTTAGAGCTTAATGAAGAATTCATCTTTATTAAAATATGTATTAATTCGAATCAATAGCAAATCTTTGTTTGATTTAAAATAAAAAATGAATCTTAATTTTCTATTCCTAAAGTCAAGCCAAAGACTTTTTTTTACAAAAATTATGATATAATAAATTAAATAATAATCTAAGATTACAACTAATTAAAAGTGAATATTAAATTAAATTATTTGAATTAATTTAAATGAATAATTTTATGATTAACATTTTAGAAAAATTTAATTGAAAAAGAAATCGTTTTAAGAACAAAAGATAGGTTTAATAATTATTTATTTCTAATGAATTGATTTTGTAGTATGGATGTATGACTAATTCTATATCTTGATCTTTAATGAAAAGGATGTTTATTTTAGATATTGAGTCCATTAAGAATCTTTATTAGCTCCTTTTTTATTTGATATCTATCTTAATGAAATAATTAAAAATTAATTAAACATACATAAATTAGACAATAAATCTGCCCTGCAAATAGTAGTATTAGATAATTTAAAACCAAATTACCTTTCTATAATGTATTTAAAATAATTATGATGATGACTTAGCAAGGGTTTGGGGGTTGGGGTTGGGTTTGGGGTTGGGTTTGGGTTTTGGG